TTGCAAGTATTTCTATGAGTATATAAATACAGAAGACTTTGGTTTTGGGGTCTTCTGAAGCCCCAGGACCACTGGGACAAAACTGTGAGCTCTGGGTCCATTTTGATCACTCGTGTATTCTCGGTTCCTGGCCCTTAGTAGGACTCAGAAAATACATTGAATGAGTAATGGATGAGATAGATAAGACTCATCCAGGTAGTTTGCCCTGTGTTGTGCTGATCCCTAGGGTCAGGCATCGAGAGGGGCTGGAGGGAGTAGATTTCCTTCCAGCCCAGCCAGCTGTGACCTTGGGAAGGGGAAGACACCCAGCCCTTCCCTACTAAAAGAGCAGAAATAGCTACAATCTGTGAAGAGAGAAGCACGGATGTAGGAAGCGGAGGTCACAGATGAAAAGACAGGAACTAGCAGCAGGTAGCGAGCCAGCCAGATGCTTTAGAAGGAGGGACTCAGCTGGGGGTGGACGCTCAGAGACCCTCAAGGAGACGGTGAGCATCACAGCAGACAAGAACCTCCGAAGTTCACATGGGCCTCCTACTGCCTCAAGACAGGCCCACTCCTAAAGCTTGTTAGCCTAGAGAGCTCTCCTACACTTAGACACACTTTTCCCTCTCTGAAGGTGCTGCCTCGAGACTTTGGTTGCCAGGTCTTGTTCCCACCTCCCCGAGGGGAGCTCTTTTTTCAGATCTGGGCTTGACTTCCTCATGGTCTGTAATGTCCATCCTGAAGATGGAAGATGATTATGTCACTGCCAGTCCCTTCTCCAGGAAGTCTTTCCCCAGGCCTGTGGCGTTCTATAGCACTTCTCTGTCACTGTCTTTCTCCCCAGTGTCCTCTCTTTTCTTCCTTCGGGCACAGCAGACACCAGGTCAGCTCAGAAGTCTCTATAGGAGAGGGATTTCTCCCTTGCAACACTCTAACACACTCCCAGCATCCCTCTCCCTGGTCCCTAGAAGACAGTGAGGCTAGTGTTGGCTTCAGAATTTTCTATATAGGAGGACTTTGGGGTAGAAGACTGGTGGGAGAGGAGCTAGATGGTGTGTCATGAAGTGGTGTTTGTATAGCAACCACAGCATTTTCACTTAGAATATGAGATTTTTCGGTAGGGGTGAAGGATTTGGGGGAAGGGGGAGGTGTTGCTCACCGACAGGGGCCTGTGGAGGAGCCTGTGAAGGAAGCATCTCTGTGGGGCAGCCTGCTGCAGTCTTGCTTGGTACTTTTCCTAATAGGGGTTCATTTAGCTTCAATCCTGAGGTCCTCCATGGCCCACGGCCTTCCTTCAGGGACAACTGAAGTCCACTAATGGCTTCTCCATGGACTACCTGGATACTCATCCTGAAACATCATGAAATTCCAGAGCCCTGTACATCCTGGATCCCCCAACCAGCATGTTATAGTCATAAGACTAGCCTGACATGGCTGGAAACTTTTCTGTCTTTTGTTTCTGCTGGGGAAGGGGTGCCCCCTCCCATTTTTCCCCTTGCCATAACCCCTCCCCTGCTATCTCCCTCCCAGAGGTCAACTTCTTTCCTGCTGCCCAGAGCTGAGGTGATATCCCCTTCCGGCTTCATTCAGTTCTAGGAGGATGTAGTGATGGGGGTGGGATAGGGAAGTGTGGCCATCTGTGCTCAGGGTTGGTTGTTCTCACCACTGCCTTTGCTTCCCTATAACTGAGCTGCCCTTTCCCAAAGTGCCCTGGATACTCTCTCTGGATTTCTTTGGGCGGGAAGGTTCCAACTATTTCGAAGCTGCAGTTCTGAAATCACTGGATATCGCTGGAAAGCCCTAGGGGCAAGCAACACCGTCTGGTGAACTATAACTGGGGATACAGTAGTAATCTTTGAGAGGAAGTGTGCAGAGTGGCACGTGCCCCAGTTTTGTAACCACATGGGTTTGAATCCATGCTCAGCCACATATTAGGCGTGTGACCTTGGCTAAGCTCCTTTATGTCTCCGAGCCATACCTATAAAATGGAGACACTACTCTCTTTTTCAGAGATGCTGTGAGGATTAGTGATAATACAGCATTTGGAACATTTCCTGCACATAGTAAGAATATTATGATTCCACCAAAGAGGAAGAGGCACCATCAAGGATTAGGCACATGGAAGGGGCAGGTCAGACTCTCTCTGGGACGCACACTGAAGTCTAGCCTTTGCAGACTCTGAGGGCACTCCTCATTGGGAAGGGTTAAAGATGAACAATTTTCAGCCTCGTGGATGCCGGTGGGGAGCTAGTCTCAGGGCAGCAACCCTACAGTAGGTTATCAGCCAGATATGGGTAATCTTTATCTTTCCAGAGCCAGGATGCAAGAGGATCCTAATTTGCCAACCAGGTTATCGTTTTAAACTGCCCTCCGTGTTTACTGTTCTTTATTTATCCAATAGCCCAGTGTTTCCTAAACTGGCCTGGTCATAGGAATCACCTGTGGGCACTTCTTTTAAAATGGATTTCCAGGCCTCTCTTCTGGAAATACTGTTTCCAGAATCTGGTGCCAGGCCAGGAAATCCACCCTTTTAATTGGTGCCCCAGATGACTCCCGTGATCTGTCCAGTTTGGGGAATGGTGCCCCAGCCTGGTGGTTTTTAACCACGACTGCATATTAGAACCTCCTGGGAAGTGTTAACAAAAATATACCTTTGTCGGGGTGCCTGGGTGGCTCAGTTGGTTAAGCGACAGCCTTTGGGTCAGGTCATGGTCTCAGGGTCCTGGGATTGAGCCCCACATCGGGCTCCCTGCCAAGCGGGAGGCCTGCTTCTCTCTCTCCCCCTGCTTGTGTTCCCTCTCTCGCTGTGTCTCTCTCTGTCAAATAAATAAATAAAATCTTTAAAATATATATATATACCTTTGTCATAGGAGGAAACACTGAGCTTTGTCTGGGAAGGCTCTGGAAGTCTTCAAAGACATGGAGATGCTTCAGTTGAATCTTCCTATGTGGATTTATCTATTAACTTACTTAATCCTAATGATTACGCTATGAAGTAGGCTGTTACAACACAATAGGTCAAAAACAAGTCCATGGATTGGAGAAAGGTAGGTATATTGAAAAGTTATCTAGGTTAGTCATTAGGGAAATGCAAATCAAAATCACAATGCAATACTACATCACGCTCCCTAGGTTGGTCATTAAAAAAAAAAAAAAAAAAGCAAAGCCCAGAAAATAAACCTAGGTTGGCGAGGATGTGGAGAAATTGAAACCCTTGTATATTTGCTGATGAGAATGTAAAAGGGTGCATCCACTGTAGAAACATTTTGTTGTTTCCTCAAAAAGTGAAGCATAGAATTACCATCTCCCTAGCAATTCCACCCCTAAGTCGATGCCCTAAAGAATTGGGAATAGAGAAAAGCATTCTAGCTGGAGCAAACAGTGAAATGGCAGGCAGGCCGGAGAGAATGTGGCATTTTTGGGGAACAGCAGGTTTTTCAATATGCAGGGGGATGCATGTTGGGGTGCAGAGGGAAAAGACAGTGTGGTACTTTGTGATGATATCAGTTACACAGCTTGAGACCTCTCTTACTTGGACTTTTTGTTTGATGTGCTGGTTTTGTTTTCCCAAGTAGATTGCAAGGTCCTTGAGCATAGATACTTTATATTTTTAAATTTATACTGATTTTTAATGCCTTATATTTTAAAATTTCTGTGCTGTTGGCTGACACGTTCTAATTTTTAAAAAAGATTATTTTTTTTCTTTTTAAGAGTAGTTTTAGATTTACAATAACACAGAGAGAGAAAGGCACAGAGACTTCCCATATACCTCTTGCCCCCATAAACATAGCCTCACCGTTACCAATATCACTCACCAGAGTGGTACATTTCCTACCAAGGATGAATCAACATTGACATATTGTAATCCCCCAAAGTACATCATTTACCTTAAGGTTCCCTCTTGGTGCTGTACATTCTATGGGTTTGGACAAATGTACAATGGTATGTTTATCATTATAGTGTCATACGGAGTATTTTCACTGCCCTAACAATCCTTTGTGCTCTGCCTATTCCTAACACTGTCTCCCCACGACCATTGATCGGATTATTTTCCTGTCTCCATAGTTTTGCCTTTTCCAGAATGTCCTATAGTTGGAAACATACAGTGTAGCCTTTTCAGACTGGCTTCTTTTACTTAATAATACACATTTAAGCTTCCTCCATGTCTTTTCATGGCTTGATGGCTCGTTTCTTTTAGTGCTGAATACCCTTCCATTGTGTGGATGGACCCCAGTTTATCCATTCACCTACTGAAGGACATCTTCCTTGCTTCCAAGTTTTGGCAATTGTGAAACAGGTCTTTGTGTAGATAAATGTTTTCAACTCTTTTGGGTAAATTCCAAGGAGTGCGATTGGTGGGTCCTATGGTAAGAGTTTTGTAAGGAACTGCCAAACTGCCTTCCAAAGCTGCCATATTATTCTGTATTCCCCCCAACAATGAAAGAGAGTTTCTGTTGCTCCATATCCTCACCAGCATTTGGTGATGTCAGTGTTCTGGATTTTGGCCATTCTAATAGGTGTGTGGTGATATCTCATTGTTTTAATTTGCATTTCCCTGATGATGTATAATATGGAGCATCTTTTCATATGCTTATTTGCCATCTACATATCTTCTTTGGTGAGGTGTCTGTTAAGGTCCTTTGTTTTATTATTTATTTATTTTTAAAGATTTATTTATTTATTTGACAGAGAGAGCACAAGCTGGGTGAGCGGCAGGCAGAGGGAGAGGGAGAAGCAGACTCCCCAGTGAGCAGGGAGCCCGATGTGGGACTTGATCCCAGGACCCCAGGATCATGACCTGAGCCAAAGGCAGACGCTTAACCAACTGAGCCACCCAGGCACCCCAGGTCTTTTGTTTTAAACATTTTTTATTTAAATTCAATTAATTAACATATAATGTATTATTGTTTTCAGAAGTACAGGCCTGTGATTCAACAGCCTTGTATATTACCCAGTGCTCATTACATCACATGCCCTCCTTAATGTCCATCACCCAGTTACCCCATCCCCCTCCCCCCACCCCTCCAGTCTGTTAAGGTCTTTGGCCTTGGTTTTGGATAGCAGTTCCTTATCAGATATGTCTTTTGACATTTTAACTTAAACTTTCAAATTGAGTTCTTCCTCAATCAGACCCTCAGATAGTGAGTCTCATTCACTCTCACACTGTCAATTTATGATGTTAGGTTGATAACTCCCAAATATCTTTGTCTTAGACTTTTCTTCTGAGCTCTAGATTTGGATGTCTCAGCACTTCCAGCTCATGATATCCAGAATGGAGCTTGTCATCTCCTAGATATCTGCTCCTTCTTCAGTAAATGAAGTCACCTCCCATTTGCTCATGTCAGCCACCGGGGAGTCATTCTTGATGCCTTCCTCTACCCAACCTCCCCACTACCCATCAATCACCAAGTGCCATCCATTGACTCCACCTCCTAAATACCTAAAAAAAAATTTTTTTTTATTGAGGTAAAATTCACATATAAAAATGAGCCATTTTAAAACATACAATCCATTGGCATTTAGTACACTCACAGTGTTGTGCAACCATCAGCTTTATTTAGTTCCAGGACATTTTCATCACCCCAAAAGGAAACCTTTTACCCATTAAACATTTACTCCCCTCTCTCCCAGCTCTACTAGCCTGCTTTCTGTCTCTGTGGATTTCCCTATTGTGGACATTTCATATAAATGGAAACCACGCCACAGGTGACCTTTTGCGTCTAGCTTCTTTCATCCAGCGTGATGTTTACAATGTTCCTCCATGTCGTAGTGTGTGTTAGTATTTCATTCCTTTTTATGGCTGAAAAAAAGTTCATAGTATGGATATAACATATTTTATTTATCTCATTCATTTGTTAATGGACATTTGGGTTGTTTCTACCTTTTGAATACTACGAAATAGTGATGCTATGAGCTATTGTGTACAAACTTTTGTTTGAGTACTTCTTTTCCGTTTTTCCGGGTACATATGTAGGAGTGGAATTGCTGGCTCATATGGTAAGTCTACATTTCACTTTCTGAGGAAACAAGATAATGAAATCTATTAAAAACCCAGGGGTGGGTCTCCTGGCTGGCTCAGTCGACAGAGCATGCTATTCTTGATCTTGGGGTTGTGAATTCAAGCCCCACATTGGGTATAGAGATTACTGAAAAACAAAGTCTTAAAAAACAAAAAAAAACAAAACAAAACCCGGGGTGCCTGGGTTGCGCAGTCGGTCAAGAGTGTGACTCTTGGTTTTGGCTCAGGTCCTGATCTCAGGGTGGTGTGATGGAGCCCTGCTTCTGGCAACAGGCTTGGCTCGGGGTCTGCTTGAGATTCTCTCTCCTTCTGCCCCTCCCACTCATGCTCTCTCTCTCTCAAATAAATTTAAAAACAAAAACAAGGATGTTTCTGCCACTTGGGATTCAGTGCTGGTGCAGAGCACTGAATGTGTGTCACCCCACACACATATTCCTGAGACTAACACAGTTCAGGCCCCAGAGAAATACTTCCCTACAGAGCTTGCCTTATGTCTTCAGGAAAAAAAAGACACGTAAACACCCTGAAGATGGGTAGGTCCTGTCCCTGTGAACTTTTGAGATGCAACATGGCTTTGGAGTGCAGGGAGGAACTGAGCTGTTGAAGTGCTTAGCTAAGAGAAAAGAAAATTGACTTGTCAAATCCTTCCTCTTGATAGCATGACTGCAACGGATTCCTGCATGACATGTTCTTTCTCAGCAGTGCTGAGTGTCCATTTTCTTACTCCTCTTTGAGTTCCAATTTCTGGTTCTGGACGTAGTCATGAGCTAGTGTAGTATTTACAACATTGCACATGGTGGCTGAGGAATATCTTTTGGTATTAAACACTTTATATTGTTCTTACATTTTTATATTTGTAGGTTTGGATGTAACATATATGAAGCATGATACTTATCCTTTTTATTGACAGCTACGTGGACACTGAACAGTAAAACTGCAAGTAGTTTCATTTTTATAGAATTATTTAGATTTAAATTTTCAAAAAAAAAATGAATGCAGACTTTGTGTCTTTCTACTATCTCCTCTGGGGGAGAATATTGGATTCAGAATGGCCAAGTTTTTAGCATCCCGGGTTCAACATCAAGGGACTCCGGGTTCAACACCAAGGGACTCCAGCCACACTTTATTCCTTTCCTTTCCCAGCCTCTTTGCTTATGACTATTTTGTCTTCCTTCCAACCTCAGGGAGTGAGGTGTGAGTAAGAAGCTTGAGCCAAATCCCTGATGGGATGTAGGTTTATAGCAGGAGCTTTTTCAAGGTGGATTTGGGGAGTGGTAGATGGATGCAGGTAGGGGTGGAGGAAAGTTCCAGATTCATTGTCCCTTTCTGCTCAGAGTCTTAGAGCTCATGTTGTCCTGGTCTGGCCAGCACTCTCAGCCACTCTTTTCAGAAGCCTTCAAGGGCCACAGGGCTGGAAGGTCTGCATTCTTCAAACCGGGATTTGGAGCTGTTCCCTCTCAAGGGCCTTCTTTCCCACTCCAGAGTCTGGAAAGACTATCCTTTCTGGCACTAGAGGAGAGTGGTGAGACCCAGTGGGGACAACGTCCCCACTCAGTCTTCTCCCAGTTATCCCAAGGATTATTAGAGACCCTGCTGTCCCCAAACTCAGAGAAGGGAAAAAAGCTGAACCCAGAAGCTGGGGTGGGGGTGGTAAGGAATGTTGGCAGACAGAGGGAGAGGTGTGAATAGAGAGAGGTCAGCCAGGGGAACAGCGAGAGCTTGAGCTAAGAACCAAAGCCAATGGTAAAACAGACTTTGTCCTTGAGATCTCCTTGGATCGAAATGAATGAGCTACACATCAGAGGTTCTGGGGGCAGGCAGTGTGGTGCAATTGCAAACTTGGACTTGGGGATTTTTGACTGGCATTTGAATTCTGGGGCTGCCCTTTAAGAGCTATGGCATCTTGGGCAGATGACCTCTTTGAGTCTCAGTTTCTTTCCTCTTCAGTACTCTTAGCACAGGCTTTGGACTCAGAGAGACTTTGCCCCCAACACCTGCACGACCTTGGGCAAATTACTTAATCTCTGGGTCTTAGTTGCCTCATCTATAAAATAGGAACACTAACACCTTGGAGCTGTTGTGAGGATTAAGATAATGGTTGGGAAGTAGATTCCATTATTAATTAGGACCATGGAACAATGGTGCATTTGGGGCCAGGTGACATGGGCTTGGATCTGCCCCCAGCTAGGTGTGTAACCCCTTTGAGGACCAATTCCTTCTCTGTAAGAAGGGGTAATACTACTTTCTTCGTGGAGCTCCGATGAAATAAATAAGGTGTACGAAAGCACTTTGTACAGCTCTGTACGAAGGTGAAAGATTGTCTGTTCTTCAGCTCACCCTCTCTAACAAAGGCTGAATAAGTCCTGAATTGGCCAAAAAAAGGGAGGGTGAGGGAAGGAATGTGAATCTTAGGCGGAGTAGCGAAAAAGCTCAAATAATCCCCACACTGTTTCTAACTCTTTCCATTAAGCCTAAGCTCCAAGGAAGAGCTCACGGCCAAGGGCACAGAGGGAGGTAAGGAATTGGGGATATGGGGGTTGTGAGGTGGGAAAAAGAGCCTTCTGCTGTCAAACCCCAGGAAGGCACGAAAGGTCTTTGGTGAGGCAAAAAAGAGGGAGTCTTCAAGTCCCAGCTCCTCTGGTCTCCCTCTCTGACCCCAACTCCCTTGTGACTCACAAAGCTCAGCTCCCAGCCTTGAGCCAAGAGAGGCTGCCTTCCAATGCCCTCTACCTGGCAGCTACTAAGCGGATTCAAATATGCTCAGGGTTGGATTCCAGAGAAAGAGGACAGGGGCTCTGCTGTCCCCTAAGGCAGAGTAGCTTGCCCCTCCTCTGCCCACCCCCTGGGGCAGAGCCCCTCAAGTCAGGCTCCTCCTTGCTCCCCCACCCCATACCCGCCACTTCGTTTTGAGAGGTCAGAACCAGGACTTGATGCCAGAGCCCTGCTGGTCCTGGGCCTCACTGCAAGGCAGGATCATGAGTGCGCTTCTCTTGGGAGCTCAGCCTATAGGATGTGCCAGGGAAATGTTTCCACAGATTAGTGCCTCCTGGGGTGGGACAGCAGCAGCAGGGTGGCAGGGACAGGACAGGGGAGGGAGGAGGGAGCAAAGCCCAGGGAGCCCTTGGGAGGAGCCCAAGGGCAGAGGCTTTCTTCTCTAGGCTCCAGCCTCCAGAACCAGGAGGTTTGGGGTGCCTGCAAAGTCCCCTGCCTCAGTTTCACCTCTCAGTGACTGCTTGATGCTACATGGCTCACTTTATTTGACCCGGTTGTTGTGGTAATTACGGTAGTATCACAGTTTGACTAAGTTCTGCTCCAGATGTAGAATAAATTAGAGGGATGCAGGGGGAGGGATGCAGGGGCAGGAGAGGAGAGATGAAGGGCCAGCTAAAAAATCCAAGGCAAGGGGGAGGACAAGAAAGGAAATTACAGCAAAAAGAAATATATCAGTGATGGAGAAGGCAGCCTGGCGAGCATGCCCGAAATTACACGCCTCTAGAAGGTAAAACCTGGTTGAGGTTTTCCAAATCTGCATTTGTCAAGTCAGGTCTTTACAAAGGAGCAGTTAAATAACCAGTGTAAGACCAACAAGCCTGGTAACTTCTGAGATCGGGACAAGAAGGCAGTAAATGCTGGTCGGCTGAGGGATGCAGTTGCTTGGAGGAAGAAGCCAGGTTCCTGCCGGCCCTGCCCTACCCCTTGGCCTTGATCTTTGGTGACTTCAGGAGTGAGTAAGGCTGGTGGGTGATGGATCACCAAGTGGTTTTGACCCAAAGTTTCATCAACATGAGCTTTCCCCGTTGGGTTAATCATGGCTGGGGTCAGGCACCCCTAATCCAGCTGGCTCCTCGACCTCACAGTTCGTGCTGATGAGGCGCTGGCTTCTGGTCTGCGTCAGCGTTCTGGATAAACTCAAAGATGAATTTCACCTGGGTCTCGTAGGCTGGGACTGAGATTTTCTCATTGATTCCGTGGATGCTGAGTGAGAGAGATTTTGGGGAAGAGAGGAGAGAGCCAACTGCTGTAGCGGAAGTGGTATTACAGAGCACCCCCCATCCCACGTCCCCTGAAGCCTTTGACCCTCCAGGGGTAAGAAATGAGGTTTCATATGACACGGAGGTCGTCTCTCCAGGGTCCAGCCCCATGGCAGAGAACAGTGCGGGGAATATAATAATAATAATAATAATAATAATAATAATAATAATAATAATAATAATAATAATAATAAAATCCTGGGGAGTTCAGAGTCATTTCCTGTTCAGGAATCTTATGTGATAATTTCTCCTCTCAGGGGAAATTATCTTCTGAATTCTCTTTCTCTTAGGCCAGAGTCCCCCCCGGCCCCCACATTACTAGGGGCACAAAAGGAGAGAGACTGCCCAGGGTCCCTGTGGGGCCTGTACTTTACCTGGGAACTTCTTATCAGATCTTGTGCCCACGATCTGCCTCCACACAACGCAACACACAACCGAACCATACACGTAACCACAAAGATAGAGGAAATAGAGAGTAGCAACCTGCTGCCCCAGTTAACAAACAAAACCCATGAAGCATGTGCTTATGCTCATATTCAAATGTTTTCATTCTCTTGGCTACTGACTTTTGGTGGGGAAATCAGGTCTGGGTATGATAAGGAACAGAAAGATAAATGGAATGCAATACCCCCCACCTCACACACACCCCAGGGCTAAAAGTTTGCTGAAGAACCCACCCACAAAGTAGTAATTCACACATAGTAGTTAAAATTGGTGATCATGTCTTAGATTCCTATAGTGTGTTTTCTTCTGAGAATTCAAAGCATGTGTCCACCTTTGACCACATAGAGGTCTGGACTTCACTGAGTAGTAATTGAGAAGTCTAGAGTCTCCCTTTTTGGGGAGAAAATGAAGTCCAGAGGGTAAGTACTCTTCCAAAGGGGGGGGGTCACACCCAAGGGTCCTACTTCTACCAGGTTCTTTCCAATCATTTGATTATCTCCATCCCAGAAAAGTAGTGGCCAATTCCCATACATTCTGGGGAGTGGCAAGACTCTAAGACAATGAGGAAAGTTGGCCAGTTGGGCTCAATAATGTCTTCATTTTAGTTTGTGCAAACCTTGGCTTTCCCGCATTCTGTGGACTGGCAGGAGAATGGGGTGGGGATGGGTCAGATGTATCTCCTCCTTCACCCTTGCTGTTCAAATCTGTTCCACTCACTCACCTACGGAAGCTCTGAGGATGCAGGTAGAGAGGGTTGAACCGGTAGATGCTGGTGGTGAGGTTTGTATAATGTCTGCTGTCTGTGTTGCCAATACAAATGCCTAGACAGGGAAAATCAAGAGGATTGGGGCTTTATGGGAGCCACCAAGCCAAGGTAGTGGTGGGAGGTGGGCTGACTGGAAAGTTAGGACCTCTGGGTCAATAAGAATGTCACCTGGGCCCTCTTGGGAGACTACAGCTACCAATTTTTGTCCTTCAAGCTACCCATTCTCAAAACCTTACTAAAACATAATTTCAACCAGAAGCATGGAATCTCCTCCCCAGGACATTAGTGAGTTATCCCTTGAATGGTCCAGACTGAAGTGTCCTCTCTTCATGATGACCAGGGGGGCCAATACCTTCATTTTATACCCTTAGCTGGGCTATTTCAGAAACTGAGCACTCCAGAAATCTAGATATCAGTTCTTTATTGCTTTAGCTCTCCTTATATCACCCTAGCTCAGAAATGAATACCCTCCAGAGAGCTTTACTGCTATAAAATGCAGTCCTCTTAAAGTAGAACATAATTTCCCGTTATTTTCATCCTCTGAAGGATGACTTTGTCTTCCAAGAGTCAAACTTCAGGTTAAGAAAGTCCCAGGATAGTCTCAGTGTCTTGCTCCCTTGAAGGTAGTAGCAGCTCACCCCACGCTCCAGCTAGGGCTGGGACTTGTCCCCAGTGGGAGTGTTCTCTGAGAAAAGACCCTCTGAAGCACCAATTAAAGAATGATGGGATGATCTGAGATGTTAATTTGTGTTTTGTTCCATTTTCCACTCCTGGTTTCAAATGGGTAACTAGGCCCTTCAAACTCCTTGCTTTGGGGATTTCTACCAGTTGATGTCTGCCTATCTTTTTTCTGTAAAGGCCTAACCTTGTTAATGGGATTATGGTGGTTGCCCCAGAAGGGAGAGGGTAGCTCAGGGAGTCTTTGAGGGCCAAGAAAGAAGAATCGGGGACTAAGAGGGTCAGGATAGTGGAGACCCAGCCCTTGCTCTGTGGCAGGAGTTTGAGGAGGTGGCAGACCTCAGAGGGGACGGCTGCCTGGTATGCTCAGGGAGTTGGTGTCTTAGGTCCAGAGTCAAACAGGCCAGGAAATCAGAGGAAATCTCCAACCTGAAGTGACTTTCTAGCTAGGCCATGGATGTCCAAGGTAACTGCAAGGACCGATGACCACTGGCCAAGGGACTCCCATGCTATGTTGCTACCAAAGACCTCGAGGGCCTGATTCAAAATGAGGGTGGTGGTGGGGGTGCTTGGAGGCCTCAACAGTTCCTGAGGTTGAATTTCCTGAGGAGTTACAGCCAGATTTAAGTTGATTAAAAAACAAGGCTGCCCGTTTCACACCTGAGTTTGTGGATACAGAACATCACTGTATGCTCCTTAAGGGCCCATTCCTAGCACAGAGGTGGGTCCGAAGTATGCGCTTAGAAAATGAGGGAATCCGGGGCACCTGGGTGGCTCAGCCAGTTAAGTGTCCAACTCTCGACTCCTGCTTTTGGTTCAGGTCATGATCTCAGGGTCCTGAGATCAAGCCCCACCTCAGGCTCCATGCTCAGCACAGAGTCTGCTTGTCCCTCTCTCTCCTCCCGCTTGCTCTTGCTCTCACTCTCTCTCTCAAATAAATAAACAAAATCTTAAAAAAAAAAAGCAAATGAGGGAATCCATGATTAAACCTAGATTTTGAAAAACCTGGTCTTAGAATTAGAGCATCTCCTCCTCACATCATGGACCAGAGATCCTCAAACTGTGGTCAGCCATCAACTGGTCTCAGAATCCCCTCGGGGATTTGTTAAAAAGGCAGATTCCGGGGTCCTCTCCAGATTTGGTTAGCCTGAGTCTTTGGGAGTGGGTCCAGGTAATCTGCATTTTAATAAGTTCCCTAGGTAATCCCCTTCCACTCTTAAATTGGAGAACCACTGTCTCCCCAGCATAGGTTTGGAAGGTAGGCTGGAAGACTAGGGAAGGGGCACAGAGGCACTGCTGCTGGGACTGGTCTGGGCTGGGAGAGAGGAAGGGGGTTCATGCCAATGGTATAGGCAGGGAGGCATTTCTGAGCTCTGTTGCTGAGCTGTTATCCTAGGATGGATCAGAACCAGCCTTGGAGAAACTTGGCCTCTCCTGTGGCTCCTCCAGAGGAGTGTGTGTTTGTGTGTGTGGTGGGGGGGTCTGGGCTGGGCTGATCCTTTCCTCCATGCCAGAGAGGCTGGCCTAGGTTAAGCTAGGACCCAGGCAGGACTGACCTAATTTATTGTTTCTGCTCTTTTCCTGTTTGCTTTTTGACTTCCACTCTGAGGGGAAAATACAGTTCTAGTCTCATCACGAGGGGAAGCAGCCAGATGTTTCCAGGCTGAACAGCTGGGGTGGAGGTGGGGCAGGAGACATTAGAGAGGAAATAGTTCTAGCCCCCACCTACCTCCAGCCACAGCTGATGAAGTCATTACCTGGGACAACAGTGCTGACTTCCGGGAAGATGGACTGTATGGTCTGGCGGAGCAGCTGGTAGCCCAAGGCCTGATGATCGGAGGGGCTGACAGGGAGGGGGTCAAAGGCAGTCAACACGTGGAATTGGACCCGGTTGTCAGCCACAATGTTCTTGACGAGGTCTAGGACCTTGAGGGAGCAAACAGAGGGAGTTTGAGTTCTTACTATCTGCTATCCAAGTACCATAGGAATTGAAATAGCCCTGATTCCTCTCCAGCAAGGCAGCGCCTTGGAGTTTACAGGGGAGCTCATTTTTTGCACTGGGACCTCAATTTCAGCCGACTGGCTGTAGGAGATGGAAGAGTTGGGTTTTCCTGGTAAGCAATCTACAGCACGGTAGACTGAAGTTAAATGTTCAGGAGGCTTGCCTTACAGCCACGAGGCAGGCAGGGAATTGGAAAATCAGGAAATCATGTGTCCTTCCTCTCAGGCTGTGAGTCATGGGCCGGGTGGAATGTAGAAGACACAGCAGAAAGGGGAACACGACCATCTTGAGGCAGGGTGACAGATGTGATGACCTCACTTCAACCTGGCAGTGTCAGACAGTTGAGGAAAGGGTCACACACTTTTCTTCCTCCTCTCTGGGCATCCCTGCTTCCTGTTTGTAACCAACTGCCGTGGAGCCAGGAAGATGAGCTCAACACAGACAAAAAGTCAGGAGTTGGGGGACTGGTATTCAAGTTTTCTCTTTGCCTCCTTTCCTCAGGAAGGAACCTGAGGAAACTCCTAGAAAATTCAGTCTGAAACAACTAGAGCTGAATCCAGCACAAGTCCTGGTCCCAGGCAGGACGTAGACCAGACCCTGACGATCAGGTCGCATGGAGACATGTGGGAATGGACCAGGAGGCTGGCTTAGGGGGGCCCCCCAGCCCTCCCCACCAGTCTCGACCCATCTGATCAGCAGTTGCTTTGGAACTGCCTCTGCCCTAGAGGGGTGTCCCATAGCTGAGGCTTTGTGTGCATGCCCCTCTCCTGCTCACTGTGTCTTCTCCATCCATTTCATGTCCTTCCTTCAAATTCTGGCTCAAAATCCACACCACTAAGGAATCCATCTTAATGAACACTGTCCCCTTTCGGGCCGTGCTCTACACCACCTCAGCCTGTATGTGCTTTGGAGGCACATCCTTGTGAAGTCAAAGACCAGGTTCAGATACCCAGCCCAGCGACACTAACTGTATAATCCTGGACCAAGTTACTTCATGAGCCAACTCCCTCTATTTTTATTGGTTCATATCTTTTAAATTTCTTTTTTCTTTTTTTTAAGATTTTATTTATTTATTTTGACAGAGAGAGACAAAGCGAGAGAGGGAACACAAGCAGGGGGAGTGGGAGAGGGAGAAGCAGGCTTCCCCATGGAGCAGGGAGACCGAAGCGGGGCTTGATCCCAGGACCCTGGGATCATGACCTGAGCCAAAGGCTGATGCTTAATGACTGAGCCACCCAGGCGCCCCTTTATCTTTTAGATTTCTTGTATCCAGCATCCATTGCATGCCTTTTATGTTCCTGGTCCTATTAGAAATAAGGTAGCCCCTCCTCTTGCATCAGGACCTAAGAGTTAGTGGGAAATCTGAGCTCTTGTGGCCTCTCATGGAGGGTGGGGTCCCATCTGTGTGCCCTCTTCAGTTTCTGGAGGCAGGAATGTTCAAGTAATTTGGGACAGGGGTCAGCAGGCATAGTCCCAACCCACCTTATAAGGGATGACTGGGAACCTCCCAGTTGGTTGAAGGTACATCAAGACTATGCACTAATTCATGTGTTAAAGGATTTAGGACAGAAGTGCTGGAGTGAAAATAAGCTCTGATAAGTGAGTTGTCCACCCCCACCCCCAACTAACCCAAGGGAATTTGGTTTGGCTCAATGGTGGTTTCTAAGCCAGAAATAGGACCCTCATTCCTTTCCAGACTCAGCTCCTAGCATGCTTCTAGGGGACACTGTCATGAAAAGGGGTACTCTTGAGATAATGCCCCCCCCATACAGGTGAGGGGGAGGGACTCGTGAACGAACGGTAAGAGGGACCTCAAAGGTTACTTTAGCGCACATCAGTCTCTCATTGCTCTGAGTTTCTACAGCCCTTACAGCGCATTCTCATAATGTGATGTTTTCCCTCTGCTTTATGTGTAGATATGTTTTCCCTGGAGTGAATGATACATTTTGTTGAAGGCAAGGACAAGGGATACCAAAAACACTGGTAAGGACTTTAGAGTTAGAGTTAGCAAGTCCAGCCTCCATCCCATTTTAGGGCAAGGCCTCTCTGGGGGAGAGGGGGGATAACACCCACGACAGACTGTCATCCAGCCTGTGCTCGAATGCTTCCGTGGTGGAAGGCTCACCATCATGTGTTATCATCCATTCTGCCTTTGAACAACTGGGTTATGAATGTTTTCTTTAGAAGGAACTGAGATATGGCTTCCTGTAGCATCTCACCCCTCTCCCTTTTTTATTTTACATACTTTATATCCTCCATGGGATACAGTATATACGAGGCGGGTCAGTGACATTTCATCTCTGTTGAAATTAGGGGCCTGTGTCCTTGCTGCCTGGAGGCTGCTCCTGTTCTAGGTCTCTGTTCTATGTCAGGTCCCAGGGTAAATGTCACCTCAGAGGACTGACTCTCTGTTCCAACCCCCATCCCACAGTCACTTTGTGACACAACATCCTATGATTTTCTTTCTTTTTTTTTTTTTTTAAAGATTTTATTTATTTATTTGACAGAGACACAGCAAGAGTGGAACACAAGCAGGGGGAGTGGGAGAGGGAGAAGCAGGCTCCCCCCTGAGCAGGGAGCCCGATGCGGGGCTGGATCCCAGGACCCTGGGATCATGACCTGAGCTGAAGGCAGACGCTCAACAACTGAGCCACCCAGGCGCCCCCATCCTATGATTTTCTTTATGGTACTTGCCTCTTAAAAAATCAACTTGGTCATGTATTTGATCACTTGCTTATTGCTGTCCCTTCCCCACTAGAACATCAGTGCCATCAGGATGGGAATCTTTGCTGTCTGGCTCACCATTCTCCCAAGTGCTTAGAAGAATGTCTAGCCCATAGTAGCCACTTAGTAAACACTTGGTGAAGCAATGAATGAAGAAAGGAAGGAATCTTCTGTACCTCACTCTAGAGAGGTGGCCATCATTCACCCCTTGAGAAGCTCATTACCATCCAAGGTGCCATATTCCCCAACTCTCCTTCAAGTGGGGGCTTCCTGAAACATCTCCCAGTGATCTTATTTTTACTCTTTGAGGCCCATTCAGGACAAACCTTCTACAGGGTAGCCTATGACATTTCTGAAGACTGTTCCTCACACAAAGGTGCTGCAGACTTCTCTACACCCACGACATGGGAGACACCAGTTAGAGATGGAGGAAGAGGGTTCTGGGAACTGTTCATGCTCCTGCTGGATCAAGCCCAAGGCCCTGTACCCTTGGCCTTCAGACCAGCAGTGTCTGAGGATGGGACCCGATGCTTGGAAAGGGGGCACAGGGAGAAGGGAGGGACCAGAACAAAAGGGTGCTGAGGGCTTTCAGATGCTGGAGGCTTTCCATTCCTCACTGGGCAGGCAGGCGGGATGGGCCCAGGGATTTCATGAGTAGACTGGGAAGGAAGGCCACTCTGGTGGGGGACCAGAGAGGAGGGAAGAGTGCCAGAAGCTGGGGAGATGAAAGCCCCAGCTGGTGGAAAACAGCCCTTGGAAAGGGCATGGAGTTGGAATGAGACTGGAAAAAAACTGGTAGAAAGAAGTTCAATGGGGGGAATTCAGTGATTTCCTGGCCCCGTGATCCTCCAGGGAGAGGACAAAGGTTGGCACTCGATGAAAAGCAGCAGAGCCCAGGACTCACACTGGTCCCAGCTTCCCCCGAATGCTGGGTGACGCTGGGCTGGCCATCAATCCATCCCCCCGCCCCCCTGCAGTGAGGGGTGTGCCTCCCACCTTGTGTGAGGAGAAACAAAACCCTCCAGGGTGAAGAACTTAGGGAGAAAGGACCACAGAAGTCTAAGTGTGGCTGACCCTTGAGGATCTGCACCAGACACTCAGGGAACACCACCTGCCCTTAACCCTGCTTAATTCTGGAATGTACTAGTCATTCCATAGTTGTTGGGTTGCCTCTTGAGATCATTTTTTGAAGGATTAGATTTGCCTTTTGAACTCTTTTTTAGCTCAACCTGCTGTTTAAATAAGCTAGCCTTTCCTGCAGATGCCAAACATTCTGCACAATGGCTACTCAAGCATGTATCTTTCGGCTCACATGTCACTTCCCCGGGGAAGTCTTGCCTGACCCTACACGAGGTCTGGTTCCCTGTTATGTCCTCCACTAGCACCTGGTCCCTCTCTGTCATCACAGCTTGCAATTACGCACTGATTTTAATCATTTTTAAAATTGATGTTTGTAGCAGGCCACTGCCAGGCTGTCCACGATCCTCTTTACTTCTAATTTTATACATCCTTCCTGTGGGATTTTATTGACTCTAGAGGTTTCATTTATGTTAATAACACTCCAGCCTGTATCTCTAGTTCATTCTCTCTCCAGACCCGAGGTATTTATAATTGCCTATTTATAATGTATAAGCGTCTCAAACTTCTCAACCATTATACTTCTCTATGAACGTGCTCTACTTCCTGAACTCTTCATCTTGGTTAAAGGCTTCAGCACCTGGCCAACTATGCAGGTTAAAACCCTTGGAGCTGTCCCCCGCCTTTCTGTCTCCCCTTACCCATGACACACGACATTCTGCTGAACCCATGTCTCCTACCCTGGCACGTGCCTTCTCCACCCCATCACCTCTGCTCGGTCTGCTGCCTGAGAGGCTATCACAGCTTCCCAACTGTCTCTTCCTACGCTGGCACCTCCTCTGCATTGCCACCAGCACCATCTCCCCAGAAGCACATCTGAGGACATCACCACCCCGTTCGAAGACCTCTCACGGTTCCCTCTGTCCACGGCACGCAAGGCCCTGAGCCCCATGCTCCAACTCCATTTTCACTGCCTGCCACTTCCGCCTGGTCTGTCCTCCTCTTTAGCCTTACTTTACTTTAGCCTGACTCTGAATGCCTGGTTTCTAGCAAAGTCCTGTTTGTCCTTTACATCACAGCTCAAATTTCTAGTGGTCAGAAAGCACTTCTGGATCCTCAAAGGCAGTGACAGTCCCCTTCTCTGCACTGGTCCTTCGGCAGTTTGTTCATCCTGAATCATTTTGATCGTGGTCTGAGGGTGTGGTGGTTCTGGAGCTAGACTGTTAGATGTGTCATCTTGGGCATGTCACTTACCTGCTTTTTTGATCTGTGCCTCAGTTTCCCTGTTAAATAAGGATGATCATAGGGCCGTCGTGGGCATTAAACGAGCATGCATATACCTTAGAACAGTGCCACACATCAAGCGAGCCTGTGGGATGTGTCTGCTACTAATATTATCATTTATCAGACTCAAAGTTCCCATGAACCAGAAGTCTCCTATCCTAGCCAGCTTCCTGGAAACCTCCGAAGAAGGTTGAACAAATGCTGTTGAATGAACCAACCAATGTTGGTTGAAAAATGGTGGCTGGCCAGCCCTGGGATGGCAACTACACCCAGATCCTGAGCATCACACATCCCCGATTGTGAACCCGTGGCTGGGAACGGAAGTCACGCACCTCCTGGACAGTCTGCACAGGGTGAATCCGGATGTTGATTATGGCCTGGGCCACCGGGGGGATGACATTCACCTGGAGAGAGAACCACAAACCCTGGCCTGAGCCACATGTGCTCCCCGCCCCAGGTAAGGCCAACGACCACCAGCAGAGAAAGAGGAAGCCGATTTGATTGAAAGGCGCAGGGCTCCATTTTCGGTGGGCCCCTTGTCTTCCTGCGGCCCTTGACAGGTGGTTATGTTCAGAGCTAGAGAGGTGTCTCTACACTAGGCCAGACTTCCATGCTTCTTGGTCGTGGACGGGGTCACAGAGAGCTGCTCAGAGCGAGACTGATTTCTCCGGGACCACGCAGACCTCTCTCTCCTGACCCCATGCAGCGTCCTGGGCGGTCTTCCGCGTGCGCTCTCTTCCCGGGGCGCCCAGGCCATCCCTGCCGCCATTAGTGCTCACTCAGGACAGGGCACCCTGAGCCACTGCAGGCCCCCATCACGCTGTGCTTGATCCCCGAAGGGGGCGAGGATGGTGATTTCCCACATCTAATTGCAAAATTTGACTCCATTCTCTGCCCGCCCAGGAAGAACCCAAGACTAACTGGAGACAAGAGTTAGGCTCTGAGTGGATTTTTTCCTTAGAGGCCGTGAGAGAACAGACTCCCTGACTCTGACTCTTTCTTTGAGCTGGTATGGTGCAAAAAAGCACCAGAGCAGGGGCAGGAGGGCTGGGCTGTTACAAATTAGCTGTGGGATTTTGCATAATTATAACCTGTTTGTGCCTCTGTTTCCCGACTGGCAATTGGGGTGATGGTACCAGGAGGGCTGTGAGCAGGATCAAGTGGAGTGACAAATGTGACAGTATTCTGGACAGATAAAACGGCATTCACATGCAAGGACACGGTATTCTTATTTCGGGGAACATTCTAGGCAGCTGGTGAAGACAGCTTGGGCCCGGCGGACATACTGGACACTCCTGTCAGTGATGCTGGGGTTAACTGAGGTGCCATTCATTGTACTCAACCTGCGCTCCAAGTGACCAGAGCTCCACAAGGCCACCCAGTAAGCTAGGTGCATGGCGCTCCCTAAAGTAGTGCTGGTGGTACTGGTAGTCACTGGACCAGTCTCACTTCTCTCAAGATTTCAGAAAGGCCTAGGTCCAGGCTACCCAGGGTGGCTGTGGCTTGTTCCTTTAAACAGAGATGCCCCTTCATGGCCAATCCAACTGGAAGTAGACCAATTTGCCAAAAAGTAGTTCTTGGAGAAGAAAAATCTATCAAAGTAATAATTCACTCGAAATTTATTTCTACAAGTGAACTTCATATAGAATTGATGTCTGTTCAGATTACCCAGTATTTAATGTGTTTTGGGAAATGACTAATATATGCCTTTAGGTGTTGTATATATCACAAATGTTATTATAGACTTTATAAATGGTGGGCGAGTTTCTCTCTTTTGACTCAGGGTAGCACGAGGGGAAAATACATTAATCATTCATTAAATCTGTTAGGTGGATCAATCTTCCAAAGTATGGTGAAGAATAACCAAAAGATCCTTGATGATAGAAAAGTTAGAACCTTTAGTCTACCTGACCAAATGCTAGGTAAATATTTAACATGTTGAATGAGTATTGTTCAGAAAAATTAACTCCCAAATAACTCCCCTTCATACCAGTATCAGGGTTGTTTTTTTTGAAGGGGTACAGACCCAAGAAAACTGAGAGGGGCCATGGACACCTCCTAAAATACACATATACAAAATCTGACCAGCAGTTTCAGAGGGTTTGTAGACCTCAGTTAGAACAATTGCTCTTGAGGATTACCCATCTGGTATCACTGAACAGTTCAGCACTGGGCCTTCCTATTATTCAAATTGAATTCAGAGAAGGAAGAAGGGGCCGGGAGATAAAGCCAAAGGATGGAGAGGTGGGTGGACAGTGAGGAAAAGGTGTAGAGGAGATCCAGGAGATGTTACCTTGACTCCTGCATTGAACATGGTGAGTGCCGTGGTGGTCCTGACCAGCGCATTGGTTATGTAATTCCTCTCCATTAACCTAAAGCAAAAGGATGAAGGTCAGACATTAGGAAGAACTGTCCAACGTGGAGAAAGAACGGGTTGGAAGATCACCCACTTTCCTGAATCTTGGAGATCTTTAAGACTAGGAGGGACATCCTCTATATGAATTAGATGTAGCATCTGGTGGCAAAGGGATGATTAGTCAGGCCCAGTTAAGTCAAGGAGAGGGGACTGGGTAGGTTTGGGTTGGAGGATGAGAAGAAGGAAAGGTAAAACTTTACCTGCTTACAAGCGGCCCAAATAGCCACAGGTTGCTCAAGATAATATTGGCAGGGAAGGAGAACTGAAAGGGAAAGAATGAGATCAGCAGGATTTCAGAGGGGTCAGCATAACAGGGTCACTATAACCGAGGCCTGGGTCTCTCCCTGCTTTAGATCTGCCTTGAGGGCCCTCAGTGGTAGCCTCGAGTGAGGATGAGTGGGAACCAGCTCCCAAAGAGTGCCTGGGTGTGTCAGGTCTTAGGGTCTCAGAGAAGCACCAACACCCCTGGGAAGAAGTCAGATCCTTGCGCCTCGGCTCAGCCTCTGGCTGAAAATAGGTGAGCATGTGCACAGCACTGGTCAGCACTGGGCCTCTCTACTACTCTGGAAGCTACTTTTCTGCCACCCTTTCTTCCTCTGCCATAGACGACCAGTACGGGAGATGCCTTTTCCCACCTCATGTGCCAGTTCCTGCAACGTCATTTTCAATGGGCCGCTTCCAAACATGTTCGGCATTGGTGTCTGTTCCAGGCTGGAAGAGAAATGGAGTTCTCAAGACTTCCCCAACCCCCATTAAAGATCAGCGATCTGAAGGGAAGAAGGAGGGAGACAGAATTTTTCAACAGGTCTGGCCAGGAGGTGTCCTATTCAACTTCTATCACCTCCACCGATCCACCTGTTTGGAGACCTCAACGCACAAGCGGGACCACCTCTAGTCCATCAGCAGAAGCTGTCCCTGTCTACCAAGTCCAAGCAGGTACCCCGACTCTCATGTCACTTACCACACTGTAGCAGAATTATCAGTCTCTGTGGCTAACTGTGAGTTCCTTGAGGAAAGGGACTGTCTGTTTCTTTCCACTGCTGTATGCCGACCCCTGGCACAAAGCCTTAAGCATTGGTAATCAGTTACGTCTTTAACTGAATTAATATACTTCTTCCCACTTTGCTAAGAAAAGCCAGCTGGAGGGAAGCTTTGCTGTGACAGACCCTTCTGTGCTCACCCACAGCCTGCAGCCCTTATGTCCTCACCTAGCTTTCATGGGTCAGCTCTTGCTTGCAACAAGGGTAGATCCTTCTCTGACCTCTAATCCCTGCCTGGGTACTGGTGGCTCTGTCTTCCCCGCGGCCTCCATCGTGGCTTCTCAGCTCAGCTTCAGGGCAGGAAGCTTAGCCCCTTCAAACTCAAAGTGGGAAAGTACCAGGTCTTCCATCCCGAGTCTGGCAAGGGAGAGGGGCCCGTGTTGCTTACCGGCTGACGGCGGCTGCGAGGATGCCGATGCTTGTCTCCTTTGGGGGAGCTGAGGAGTGGCCTGGAGTCATGTTTACTTTCAGCCTGAGGTTAATCGAACCCTTCTCTGAGACTGCAATCCTGTAGGAGAGGATCAGAGAGGGCCCTCCTGACTTCCTCCCACCTTGAATTGTCCCAAGGGCCCAGAGGTCTGCCTGCACAGTGGTCTGGTTGTCTAGGAGATTGGCTTCATGCTGCTTAAAAAAAATTGACACTAGAGGAGAAAGGGAAAGGGGAGCCCAAACCTGGTTGACATTCAGGGCCAGGGGAATAAAATAAAGAGTTGCCTCAGTATGGCTTACAGACACCACGCTGGGGTCATCTGACATGGGGTGAGAACACCTTCCAAGGTAGGGGGTGGGGTACTTTACTCACATGGCAAAGGGCTTCTTGAGGTGGGGAATGAAACCATCCAAGATGAAGTTACCCTCGTCCACAATGAAGGCTAGCTTGATATCCCTTGCCTGTAGCAGGGCTGAGATCTTCTGAGCCCCATTCTGCCCTGACACCTGCAGACATTAAACCCATGGCCACAGTCCTTCTTAGCCAGACCTCCAATAGCGAACGGAGACCCATTCAACATAGCTGGGGGCTCCAGAACCTCCCTGCTCAGCCTCCTTCCTGGGGGGGGTGGGGGTGGAGGGGGAGGGCAAGGGGCCTAGACAATCCTGCTTCACAGGACCCTGGAATGTCACAGCTGGAGAGCCAAACCACCCTCATTTTACAGATGAAGAGACTGGGACCCATGGAATGAAGTGACTGGCCCAGGGTCAAAGTAGGTGACATCACTGGAAATAAAACACTGATTCCTTGCTCCCTGTTGGTTCTCTTTCCATCACACCCATATTTCTCAAAGTGTCATTGATGCAACACCTACCTGCTTCAGATATGACCAGGGAGTTTGTTAAAAAATTCAGATCTATGCCTATCACTAAATGAAAGAAGCCGATCTGAAAAGGCTATATAGTGGATGAGTCCAACTATATGATATTCTGGAAAAGGCAAAACTATGGAGACAGTAAAAAAAGAATCCATGGTTTCCAGGGGTTGGGGGAGGGAGAGAGGGATGAATAGGTGGAGCACAGAGGACTTTTAGGGCAGTGAAACTACTGTGTGAAACTATAATGTTGGACCCCTGTCACTATACAATTGACCAAGCCCATAGAATGGATGCCAAGAGTAAACCCTAATGTAAACTAGGGCTTTGGGTAATTATGATGTATCAATGTAGGTTCATCAGTTATAACAAATACCCCCCTGCTGGGGATGCTGATAATGGGGAAGGTTGTGCATGTGTGGTGTGGGTGTAAGGGAAGTCTCTACACCTTCTCAATTTTGCTGTGAACCTAAAACTGCTCTAAAAAATAAAACCTTTTAAAAACAAATTCAGATCTATGGCACAGGGTCCGGGAATCTGCATTTTGGTCCAGGGCCTTAGATAGTTCTGGCACATAGATACCCAAGAGTTGGCAACCTCCCACACCATATTCTGGAGACCCTGCAGCTGGGGAGCAAATTGGGCTAGAGTGAAACTCCCCCCCGCGCCCCCAAACAGAGGTCCTAGAGATGGTTTATAGGGGGAGGAGGCTCTACCTCTTCATCATGGCCCAGAGCAATAAAGAAAGATCTTCGGGGGATGTAGTTTCTGTTCAGCAGGAGCTCCAGGGCCTGCAGGATTGCCTGGGGGAAGAAGCAGAAGGGAAGAGGGAGAATCAGGGCATCAGTGACAGTCAGCTGCCTGCATTAGGGCTGGTGGGGCTAGCATCGGACACTCTCTTTATTTTTTTTTTTTAAAGAATTTATTTATTTATTTGACAGAGAGAGAGACAGCGAGAGCAGGAACACAAGCAGGGGAGCGGGAGAGGGAGAAGCAGTCTTCCTGCGGAGCAGGGAGCCCGATGCGGGGCTCGATCCCAGGACCCTGGGATCATGACCTGAGCCGAAGGCAGATGCTTAATGATTGAGTCACCCAGGCACCCCTGGAGACTCTCTTTAAAGAGAACAAATTCAGGGCACCTGGGTGGCTCAGTTGGTTAAGCGACTGCCTTCGGCTCAGGTCATGATCCTGGAGTCCCAGGATCGAGTCCCGCATCGGGCTCCCTGCTCGGCAGGGAGTCTGCTTCTCCCTCTGACCCTCCTCCCTCTCATGCTCTCTGTCTCTCATTCTCTCTGTCTCAAATAAATAAATAAAATCTTTAAAAAAAAAAAAAAAGAAAAAAGAGAGAAAAAAAAAAGAGAACAAATTCAAGTGGCCCTGGGGGGATGAGAGGTGAGGAAGCTTAGCTCCTTTACCAGCTGGAGAAAAACATAAATGTATCAGTGCAGAGCTGAAAGGGTCTCTGGAGATCATCTACTCTAGTCCTTGTTTCACAGCTGAGAAATCAAGACCCAGAAAAGGACAGTGACCAAGTGGTGGCTGGAACCCAGGGCTCCTGGAGCCAAGGTTCTTTCTACCATAACCTCCCGTCTCCCGGGGGGTCAGCTGAGGATCCTCATCCTGGGTGACTCTTTAGGGCCCCCGGGCAGATGGAACAAAGCATTTCAGACCATCAGAGAGTTCTTGTTGTCCAGTGTGCCTCGGCCATGGATGAAGCCATCACGCTCCAAGCCAGAGAACGGGGGCACCTCCCAGCCTTCGTCAGGGGCGGGCACCACGTCACTGTGCGCCATTAGCATGTAGGGCTGCAAGCTAGGGTCTGAGCCTCGGACAGTGAGCAGGTGGCTGTACTCTCCTATGACTTCATGCCGGATAAAGCTGGTTTTGAAAACTGTTGGAAAGACTAGGGACAAAGGGATGACAAGCAGGGAGAGAGAAAGCCAGATTTAACAATTTCCTTTGGTTTTCCTACCATTTAATAGAAAATGTTTACCCCCGTACCCCTTTTTGAAAGCATGCAGCGTCCTACAGGAAGCCTTCTGGAACAAAGACAGTGTGATTCCTGATTTGCCTGGACAATCTCTAAAATTCCTCTTCCTCATATTTTAATGTGCTACTACTATGTAATAATGGGCACATCAAGATTCCATCATGGTGACAGCTGATAGATCAAGATCTGGCTTGGTCTGACCTGTAATAAGTTATCACTAGTATATGCTACCAGGCTATACCGATGAGGAGTGTGTTAAATTTTAAATATAGTAGTCCCCAATAGCCAAATTACTTGGAACCAAACATGACCCTTATATTAAAAAAAAAAAGAGAGAAAGAGAGAAAGACCTTTTTTTACTTGAAAAATAATATAAAATAATATTCCTACTGTGTGTGTCATATGGAGAGAAGATTGCCCTGTCTAGCACAAGGCCACACTTCTGCGTCCAGGTGTGGATGTTCTCAGGGTCACTCAGGTTACAGATAGTGTTAGAGAGGGGGCTACTTGCTGTACCTAGGTCAGCTCCTCCCAGCCCTGACAACTTTGGAGGGGGTGTTTTTTCTTTGATTTAGGAAGAGGGCCTCACTACTCTCCATGAGCTTTTCATATGAGGACTAGGGAGTCCCAAGTCTCCTTCTTCTTCTTGACCCATCCCTTCTTCGGGTCACGTGGGGGTGAGGGGCTGATATGGCAGCTCATAGTTGCTGATGGCCTCGAAGCTCAGAAACGGGTCAGTAAAGAATCTGGGGAAAGACCTGGGTGGGTGGAGTGTGTACATAGGTGTGTAGGTGTGTGTACGGAGGTAGTTGGGAGGAGCATGGGGTATAGTTCTGGAAACTTGCACGGGAAGAAGGAATTCCTAGTCCTACCTTTTTTTTCTTTTTTAATTTGAGTATAGTTGACACAAATGTTCCCTTAGTTTTCGGTATACAACTTACTGATTTGACAGGTTTATATATGATGCTGTCTTCACCACACGCGGAGCTACCATCTGTCCTGATACATGGCTATTAGAATATCACTGACTATATTCCTTATGCTGTGCCTTTTATTTCCTTTCCTCATCCTACCTTTTGATTCTATCTTATTTATTGACTGTTACATATCTAGGGCAAAGGTCGGGAGAGTTCAAACTCCAACCCAACAGCTACGTGCTTTAGTTTTTCAAAGGTCCAATAAATCTAGTCTCTACTCTGCCTCCATTCTGACTCCTGGGGAGCTTCTATTCCTCCCCACTGTGTGTAAACTCAAAATAGGCCCACAGCAATTTGACTGTCCTCTGGTCAGTAACAAAAGCTTCTTCATCTCCTTGTAAAAGAACTGTGTCTGCAGGGCTATGCTCTACCCCCCCCGCCCCCCCGCCCCCCAACGCCAGCTTGTGGCTGACCTGTACGAATGTATTCTCCAAACTCAGCCAGGGCTGTTGCATTAACGTTCTCGGGGCTGAAAGATACTGTTGGAATCCGGATGGCACCTGTCAGGGGCGTATAGAGATGTGAGATTACAGATGATAACAACCATTGGTTTTCCCACAGCCCTCTGTGCACAGAGAGTTCTTTCAAATTCAGGATCTTATTGTGGAGGGCAGAACAATCCTATGAGGTAGGCACTGCTATTTTCTCTAATTTGAAGGTGGGAAAACAAGTTTAGAGGGGTTAAGTATGCTGCTCAGGACTGTCCTGAAATAAGCAGCAGAACTGGGATTTAAGCCCAGGTCTTTCAGGTTTGTTTAGACTAATATGGTTCTTCTTCTTTTTTTAAAATTTATTTGACGAGAGAGAGAGAGCCAGCGGGGGAGGGGCAGAGGGAGAGGGAGAAGACTCCAAGCAACTCCGCAGGGAGCCCAATGTGGGGCTCGATCCTAGGACCCCGGGATCATGACCTGAGCCGAAGACAGACACTTAACTGACTGAGCCTAATATGGTTCTTAAAATAAAGTCCTATGTTCACGATAGCATTATTACAATAGCCAGTATAAGAAAAACAAACGGAGTGTCCATCAATATATGAATGGATAAAGATATGGTACATCATTGAACACCAATAAATTCTGCCAAATTGTTTTCCCAAAAGTTTGGAGCAATTCATGTTCCCACCAGCAGGGCATGTGAGTGCCAGAACACACCTCCACACGCTGAGAGTTACCCACCTTTTGCACAGTTTGCCCTGTGGGTGGATAAAAAAATGAGATGCTGTTGGTGTTTGCATTTTCAGTTCCCTGACCTCCAAGGCAGCTGAGCGTCTCTTCATATGGCCATTTGCATTTCCTCTGCTGTGAACTGCCAGGCTCAGTCACTCAAGCAAGCTCCTTAATCTTTCTGCCTGTTTTATTTTCTTTCTGTTGGGCATTAAGACCTACATCTGGGGCTGTTGTGAGGACCAAGTTAACACTGTAGAGGGCTCAGAACTGTGCCTAATGTGCTGTTAAGGGCTGAATTAATGCTGGCTTTAAAAAGGTCTATTTGTGGGGCGCCTGGGTGGTTCAGTGGTTAAGCGTCTGCCTTTGGCTCAGGTCATGATCCCAGGGTCTTAGGATTGAGTCCTGCACTGGGCTCCTTGCTGGGCGGGGAGCCTGCTTCCCCCTCCGCCTGCCGCTCTCTCTGCTTGTGCTCTCTCTCCTTTCTCTCTCTCTGACAAATAAATAAATCTTTAAAAAAAATATAATGGTCTATTAGCTATATTCATAGTTGCTTGGATTTACCCAGAAGATCTCCAGAAGGATACAAAGGAAGCTAATACAAGTAGCTACCTCTGTGTATTTGTGGGGGTGAGAAAATGGTGGTGGTTGGTGGGGAATGGGGCCACCAAGGCAGGGTGGGACCTATACACCCGCCCCGCCCCCCCACAGACTCTTTCACTATTTTGGGTTTTGTTTTAACTATGTGAATGTACTACCTATCCAGAAATAAAGGAAACATTTTTTAATTGGGAAAAAAAAAAAAGATATGGTACATATATATATACAGAATGGAATATTACTCAGCCACAAAAAGTGAAACCTCACCATCTGTGACAGCATAGATGGACCTAGAGGGTATTATGCTAACCAAAAAGTCAGACAGAGAAAGACAAACAGCATTTGATTTTACTCCTGTGTGGAATCTGAAAGAAAGAAAGAAAGAAAGAAAGAAAGAAAGAAAGAAAGAAAGAAAGAAAGAAAGAAAGAAGCTAAACAAATAAACAAAATAAAACAAACTTATAAATACAGAGGACAGACTAGTGGTTAATAGAGAAGGGGGTCAACCGTGTGTGATGGAGGGTAACTAGACCTGTGGTGGTGATCACCTCTCAATTGTATACAGATGTCAAATTATAAAGCTGTACACCTGAAACTTTTATAATAATAATAAAAAGAGTTAAAAAAAGAAAATAAAGTCCAAGATGGGGGTGGGGTGGGAGGAGGTGGACAGGAGTAGATTTTGGACCCTGACCCTAAGTGGGAAGCTGCTATAAATTGCTTCTAAGCCTTACTCTGCCGATGAAACCATCATCCCTTCGATGAACCAGAGAAGCCCACTATCCTGGGTCCCTACATGAATGAGGCTTTGTGTGCAGAGAGTAGATTTATTCCTTATGGACTGGCTCATCCAGAGTCTCACTGATCTCTCAGCCAGGGTCAGCCTTTTGGGCACATGATACCTGGGAAGGGGCGGATTTAGAAGCTTCCAAACAAACTCCTCAGTCCTAAATAATCTCATCTACTTTACCCAGATGTCTTAGTTCCTGAATTGCTTTTAGGTTTATCCCTTTGAGCCCTGAAGGCTTTACACTTTAAAGAGATCCATTACTATATGCAAACACCTATGGGAGGGGAAATGCAATAAATTATGAGAATATCTGATTAGATATCCCAAACCACAGTGGGAAGAACAAATGCACCTAGGCAGTGCATTTATCAAGGGAGGGCCTCTGCAAGACAAGCTTACCTCTGTTATCAGTTTTGTTTTTTTTCTTTTTGTGGTCTCTTTCGTTTATCTTTTTAAAATTTTTTATTGTTATGTTAATCACCATACATTACATCATTAGTTTTTGATGTAGTGTTCCATGATTCATTGTTTGTGCATAACACCCAGTGCTGCATGCAGAACGTGCCCTCCTTAATACCCATCACCAGGCTAACCCATCCCCCCCACCCCCCTCCCCTCTAGAACCCTCAGTTTGTTTTTCAGAGTCCATCGTCTCTCATGGTTCGTCTTCCCCTCCGATTTCCCCCCCTTCATTCTTCCCTGACATCAGTTTTTCTAAGGATTGAGCCTGCATCACAGCTCACCACATAGATGGGGAAGTCAAGGTTCAAAAAGATGAATCTATAGGAGATAAACTCAAAATCTGAACTGAAATGTTTTGCCTCAAGGCATGTGGCTATATATATATATATATATATATGCCATACAAATAGATATAGGCCATATAGCCATGTGGTTATAAGATCCCTACTTTGGGTTCTTTAAATAAGAAAGCTTTTGCTTTCTTCTGGGTGAAAAGACTCTCGGGTGAGCAGCTGCCCGCTGGCTTTCAGAGAACTCACTATTTGTGCTGTGCTTTGGAAAAGCTCTGCACTGACTCCAGACCAATCGTTCAGGCACATGTACAATTTATATTCAATCACCGGGGCTAGCATTGGGTCCCTGCATCTGCCTGCACATGTTTATGTAGGCAGTTTCTTTTAATCCATTATTTAATGAAAGGGAAAAGACTGGAAAAGGGCTAAGCCCGGTGGTGGGGAGGATCTCATTATCCCAGAGGATCTAGCCCTCAACAGAACTTTTCCTCTTTTCTCCCGGAAAATGCAGACTGAGAAGGCAAATGAGTTCTTAACCTTGGTTTGAGGTCTAGGGGAGAGAGGTCTGTTAATTAGGAGAGGAAATTTGGAACATGTCACGCCCCTTTTTGGAGTCCTTTGCAGCTGGGTGGATCCTACAGGGTGGATCTTACAAGGGATAGATGTTATCACCCAGTGCTCACTCCTTGCTGTGGGGTCCCCGGGGAGGCTCATTTAATTTCCCTCCACTGTTGATTAAGATAATTTAGTCTTAAGATATCACAGAGATTTAACAGAAGTGAAAACTTTCTAAGGTTCAAAGTACAAACAAAAGCTATTGCAATACTGAGGCAAAGCAGGGGGTAGGCTGGGTGATGGCCAAGGCAACAGGGGTGATGGTGGAAGCTAGAGAAGGTTCCGGGAGAGGCAGGGAACACCCGAGTCCCCAGAAGCCAGGTCTGGGGCAAGAGTGGCGTCCCCGAGCCCGGGCACGAGGTGCTGGCACTCGGGCTAGGGCTGGTCTGGGGAATGTGGTTGGGCTCCAGTTCCAGTAATGGACCCTCTGCGGTGGGAGTGGGGCGGCACGGGTTGGCCCGAGGGGACAGGGACTTATGTTTGGGCATAGCTGGGCGAAGGGGACCAGGCTCACCTTTCAGCGCTTCCTTCATCGCGAAGCGCTCGCCTGGGCTGAACTGAGAAGGCATTTGCGGCGCCCGCTGATGCCCCTGGCCCTTCAGGCCCTTCGATCTGGAGACTGTGGAGATACCTAGCAGCAGCACAGCCGCCAGAGCCAGCACGCAGACACACTGCGGAGCCATGCTTCTCTCCGCTCTGCAGCTGGAGTTTACAAGCTCTTGTTTGTCGTCCTGTCACAGCTCCAATTCCCGCAACTGCCTTAGTCCCACCCTAGCCCCAGGCCTGACCAATCGCTGCTTGCCCTGGGGTTGAGAACCACCCAATCGGCGGGACGGCTCCGCCCAGGTCCGCAGGGCATTTCGGGAGTGGTCGTTTCTCCAGCTGCGGCGGGCAGAAGTAGAGCAGAGGTGAGGGCTCCAGGTAGACGGTAGGTCTTCTGTGTGCTTGATCTTCCGCTTTGAGATTCTCAGAAATCCCTTGCTGTATGACAGGCCAATTAAAGCGGGGAGAGGCAAAATAAAATCAGCAAAGCGTATCAGACCTTAATCTGCTTCTCACTTCTGAAGTTTAGAACTTGATTACCATCCCCCCGGATATGGTGGGGGAGCTTTCCTGGTCCCTGGCTTTATTTAATCTGAAATTGAAACAGTATTCCTCCATTTATACACGTTGCTTTGAATGATCAGTTCAGAGGGCTTGCCCCAGTTTAGGAATTCGCTGAAAGTGGTTTAGAGATTAATGTAAACACTGCATTTTTTGGGGGGAATTGGAGAGGCAGATGAACCATGAGAGACTACGGACTTTGAGAAACAAACAGGGTTTTAGAGGGGAGGGGGGAGGGGGATTGGTTAGCCCGGTGATGGGTATTAAGGAGGGCACTGCTGCATGGAGCACTGGGTGTGATAGGAAGACAGTGGATCGTGGATCACCACATCAAAAACCAATGATGTATGGTGACTAACATAACATAATAAAATTAAAACAAACAAACAAACAAAAAACACTGCATTTTTGCAACTCTAGGCAGGTACATGAAGACTGAAGGATTTTGAGAAAGATTGTGTTTTAATAATTTTGATGTATTTAATAAACTGAAATTTTATAAATAGCTATTTGTCCTATGAAGGATAATTTTGGAAAAGAAGAAAATTGTGGCACAGAGAATAAAATTAGATTTATTGGAGCCAGAAAAAACCCATTCCTTTCATATCCCTTGATGCAATTTAATCCACCACCAGTCACAAAGTTTAGAATTCTCTAGAAAAAAATCAATAGTAGGGCTGTATAGCTACTCATTCCCAAAGCTGCAAATTTACACTCCTGGTGTTTGCCAAAACTCAGAGAAGGAGTGCTTTGTTCCCTTTCGGGAATCCTACTTAAAATAATAATAATAATAATAATAATAATAATAATAATAATAATAATAATAATAATCCCAAACAAAAAACTGCAATCATATATTTACTTTTCAATAGCAATCTAAAAACAGTATTATGAAACATTTCACACATACTGAAAGGTGTAAAGAATTAATATAATGAACATTTCTGTATTCACCACCCAGCTTAAGATCTAGAACATTAAAAATAGAGTTGAAATGAGTTTTTGTAAAAGTGTAACATTGGGGGTGCCTGGTGGCTCAGTTGGTTAATTATCTGACTCTTGATCTTGGCTTGGGTCATGATCTCAGAGTTGTGGGATTGAGCCCTAGGCTCACCGGGGAATCTGCTTGAGATTCTCCCTCTCCCTCTCTCTCTGTCCCTCCCTGATAAATACGTAAATATTTTTTAAAAAGTGTGAACATTAGCAGAATTTTTAATACAAAGTGGCTTAATTTCTACCAAATTTCAAAAAAAATTTTTTAAAGATTTTTATTTATTTATTTGAGAGAGAGTGAGAGAGATCACAGAGGTAGAGGGAAAAGTAGGCTTCCTGCTGAATGTGGAGCCAGACGCAGGGCTCAATCCCAGGATGCTTAACCAACTGAGCCACCCAGGTACTCCCAAATCTCAAAAGTTTTATGATTTTAAAATTAATATACATTTAGGCCCTTGTGAATTATTTGAAGAATACAATAAAATATAAAGAAAACAAATCATGCTTCTTACATGGCTAGTCCTTTTTGTTTTCTTGCTAATAAATCTTTATTTCAAGGTCATACATATATTTTGATGTCTCACCTTTTAAAGTTTTAAACTTTTGTCTTTTTTTTTTTTTAAAGATTTTATTAATTTATTTGAGAGAGAGAGAATGAGAGAGCACATGAGAGGGGGGAGGGTCAGAGGGAGAAGCAGGCTCCCCGCTGAGCAGGGAGCCCGATGCGGGACTCGATCCCGGACTCCAGGATCATGACCTGAGCCGAAGGCAGTCGCTTAACCAACTGAGCCACCCAGGCGCCCTAAACTTTTGTCTTTTATACGAAAAATAAAAAATCATATCCAGAGATATTAACTCATAATATGTTGATGTGTTATTCAACCTTTTTTTATGCCCTCAAATACTCATATATAAGGTGTGTCTTTTTTATTTTTATTTTTTTTACAAGGTTAATAAGGCTTTAATTTCACACAGACACACAAAACCCTATGTATAATTTAAAAAGGAAACAAAAGTAAGTAAAAATGATAAAGGATATAGAGGACAGTTCTGCTAAAACACAAAGTGCAGCTCCATACAAAACAACATAAGGAATCAGAATCAAGTCACTCTGAACACAAAGAAAAAAAGTCACTCCACAAGTAATGTGGCTAAAGCTCCCAGCAAATTTCATTAGGTGAAGTGTAGGAAACTTACACCCATTTCTCTCTTTATAGCATAAGTAAACAACACTGACAACAGGCCAGAGGACTAGGGATAGAAGGACAAGCTCAGAGAGGGATGGAACCTGGAGATGAGAGGTGTGTGGTCTCACTCTCCAAATCCCCTCAGTTCTTGAAATAGGCCAAGTCAGTTGTTTGCTCTTCATTGTCTGACATTTGACCTACTGAATTTGGGTCTTGATCCGGACCCTCATCCCCTTTCGCTAGTGAACACGCCTGTACTTCAAACCTCTTAAAATGAACTTTAAGAAAAGTCCAATGTTACTGGGGCGCCTGGGTGGCTCAGTCAATTAAGCATCTACCTCTTGGTTTTGGGTCGGGTCATGATCTCGGGGTCCTGGGATCAGCCCTGTGTTGTGCTCCTCGCTCAGCGTGGAGTATGCTTGTCCGTCTCCCTCTGCTCCTTCCCCTGCTCTCTCTCTCTCTCTGGAATGAATAAATAAAATCTTACCCAAAATGGGAATGCAAGCTGGTGCAGCCACTCTGGAAAACAGTATGGAGTTTCCTCAAAAAGTTGAAAATAGAGCTACCATACGATCCAGCAATTGCACTACTGGGTATTTACCTCAAAGATAGAAATGTAGTGATCTGAAGGGGTACATGCACCCCTATGTTTATAGCAGCAATGTCCACAATAGCCAAACTATGGAAAGAGCCAAGATGTCCATCAACAGATGAATGGATAAAGAAGATGTGGTGTGTATACATATATATATGTACATATATATATATGTATACACACATACATACATACACACACACAATGGAATATTATGTAGCCATCAAAAAACCCACACAAAATCTTGCCATTTGCAACGACGTGGATGGAACTAAAGGGTATTATGCTAAGTGAAATAAGTCAATCAGAGGAAGACATGTATCATATGACCTCACTTATATGAGGAATTCTTAATCTCAGGAAACAAACTAAGGGTTGCTGGAGTGGTGGAGGGTGGGAGGGATGGGGTGGCTGGGTGATAGACACTGGGGAGTGTATGTGCTACAGTAAACGCTGTGAATTGTGTAAGACTGTTGAATCACAGACCTGTACCTCTGAAACATATAATACATTATGTGTTAAAAAAAAAAAAGATAGTAGGAAGGGAGAAATGAAGGGGGGACTCGGAGGGGGAGATGAACCATGAGAGACTATGGACTCTGAGAAACAAACTGAAGGTTTTAGAGGGGAGGGGAGTGAGGGAATTGGTTAGCCTGGTGATGGGTATTAAAGAGGGCATATATTGGGGCGCCTGGGTGGCTCAGTCCTTAAGTGTCTGCCTTCAGCTCAGGTCATGATACCAGGGTCCTGGGATCGAGTCCCATATCGGGCTCCCTGCTCGGCGGGAAGCCTGTTTCTCCCTCTCCCGCTCCCCCTGCTTGTGTTCCCTCTCTTGCTGTGTCTCTCTCTGTCAAATAAATAAATAAATAAATAAATAAATAAATAAATAAATAAATAAATAAAGAGGGCATGTATTGAATGGAGCACTGGGTGCTTTACGTAAACAATAAATCGTGGAACACTACATCAAAAACTAATGATGTAATATATGGTGATTAACATAACATAATAAAAAAAAAATCTTACCAAAAAAAGCCCAGTGTTACTAAATCAATTGCTTATATTCATATTGGCATGCTTTTTATTAAAAATTTCAAAACCTCAGACATATAGCACATGTGGAAAAAAATAATTTACTGTGTGTAAATATGATACAAGAGACAAGACTTCCTTAAGTCTAGTAATCAAAGCATGCTGTAAAGGAGTCAATGATGTGGTGACATACAGCAAAAAAATTGTCACAAAACTCTCAAGGCCTAACAAACTACAGTTTCCCAATAAAATGTATGTTTTTCAGGTGTTAATAAGACATACCGATAGAGACAAAATTAAAGTTTTGAGGTAATGCATTAGAAAGATGTTAGGTGGCAGAAATCTGTCCAGATGTGGTACATGTTTAAAGAGAGCGTTACTCAGTGTTAAAGCAAGATGGGGAGGAGGAAAAGGACATACCTGTGTTTTGGGGACATTTTTATGTGACTTGCATCTGGTACTGGGTTGTTGATTTTTCTCAAAGTCTCCATACGTATACAATGCACTTGGAAGATGTAGCTTTGTTTCCCTGATTGAAATGGAAAGACTGCTCAAAGGAGGGGGTCAATTAAATCAAACAGGGCGGAGGGGGGTGGGGTTTGGATGACTAAGTAAGGACATCCACTGCAGTTATTTCAGAGGACAAAGAAAGAGGGAGAAAGAATATATTTATTTGGTTTAATATAATCTCTTTTCAGTAGATCACAAATGAGTTTAAAAACACCTTTTTTTTTCTGTATGCTTCCAACCCCCATGCTCTCTCTACACTTATAACACTCAACTACATAGAGACGCTGCCCCAAATCTCTTCAGTTTAGGTGTTTCCAATGTGTCTGTTTTAAAATGAAACAGATGCATACTATATACAAAGTTCTATATTTTGCTTCATTCCTTTAGCTTATATTAAAAACACTTCCCTGAATTTGAATATTCTTTAAATTCTCTTACCATGTAGCATTTGATACTCAATATATACAATGAATGTGTAAAGCAAATAACATGACCACCTCTGCAAAGATCAATAATGTTAAAGGTGTATGTGTATCCTAGTGCCTCTATTTTCCATTCCCTGCTCTAGGTAACCACTACCTGAAATGGTGCGTGTCTGAGTGTGCTTTAAATCATTCTACCACATATATGATTATGAGAAAGAGAGAGAAAGAGAGAGAGTTTGGCTTTGCTTGCTTTTATAAAAGTGACAGCATGCTTTTCATAGTCTTTGCTTTTTTCACTCTAGCAGGAGTTTGTGGGATTCGTCCAGACTGTTATATCTAACTGCAGTCTATTCACATTCACTATACATGATGCTGCATCCATTCTCAAATACATAAGTACTTATTGTACATGTGTCCTAAGCCACAGGGGAGAGAGAGTCTCTGAGGTTTATATCTATAAGTGGAAATGTTGGGTTGTAGTATACGTGAATGTTCAGCTTTATAGGATAATGCTAAATTATTTTCCAAAGCGATTGAACTAGTTTATACTCCCTTCAGTAAGCTGTGCTTAGTATATGAGTTCCTATTGCTTCATATTCTGCATATTCTGACCAGTGCTTGGCATTTCAGATGTCTTAATTTTGCCCATTTAGTGGCTGGAAAATGATATCTCATTGTGGTATTAATTTGTACTTCCAGTTTAGTAAGGACTTTAAGCATCTTCTCATATGCTTATTTGATATGCTTGTTTTCTCAGTAAAATTACTATCTCTGTCTGTTGCCTATTTTTATTTTGAATCGTTTGTCTTATTGGCTTTTAGGAGTTTCTGTATATTAAATACTAATATTTTGTCAGTTATACTTATGTTGCAAATATTTCTATCCGTTTGTGTCATATATTTTCACATTATGGTCTTTTGCAGAACTAAAGTCTTAATTTTCATGTAGGTGAATTTATCACTTTTAAAAAATCATTAATACTTTTTGTTTATTATTTATTAAGTCTCTAGTTCAAGGTCATAAATATATTTCAATATGTTATCTTTTAAAATGTTTAAACTTTTACAGTAAAGTTCTTAATCCATCTGGAATTGACTTTTGTAAGGGGTATAAGATCAGGGTCTAATTTTATTTTTTTTCCAATTAGATAACCAATTTTCCCAACACCATTCCTTAAATAGTCTGCCCTTTCCTCAGAGATCTGCAGGGCCAGCTCTGTCATTTACTATGTTTTCATACGTGAAAGGGCCTGTTATTGGGCTATTTTTTTTGCATTGGTTTCTTTGTTTATTTCTATGCTAATATGACTAACTTAGTTATTATAGCTTTAAAATATGTCTCCATACCAGGCAGAACACATTTCTCTCTTAGTCTGTTAATGTAATGAATCACATTAATAAATTTTAAAAATGTAAAACACCCTGGGAAAAACCATTACTTAGATAAACCCACTGCTGGATTTTCCTTTAGGATTTTTGCAATTCTGTTTATGAAATTGATTTTGGCCTGTAGTTTTTCTTTTTAATAATGTCCTTTTTTGGATTCGGTATCAAGTGTATAGTAGCCTCAGAAATTTCATTAGACAAAATGGTAGAGATTTCTAGCTGACCCCAGTATCCATTTCCCTTCTTTCTAAGTAGCAAGAATCCTGAGTTTTAGCTCAGCATATGGATATTCAGCTGCAAGACCACATTTCCCAGCCTCTGGCAGCTGGGTTTTGCCATGTGACTACATTTGGAGAATGGAAGGTAAGCCAAAGTGTTGCATGTGACTCAAGGAGGTGTTTTTATGGACACACTCTTCTTAAATCCCTCCCTCCACGATCAGACATGAGGGCTATAGCTCTAGCAACCCTGTTGGACCATGATGGTGAGTTCTACACTAAGAGAGGGCAGAGAGCTGAGCTGGAAGTAGCCCAAGTCCTTGGAGAGCCTCATGACTATCCTAGCTCTGGCCTGTCTACCTTTGGATTACTTTTACAGAGAGAGAGAGAGAGAGACTTATTTCTACTAAATTTAAACTATTAAAGGAGTGACTTTCCTTCCTTTTTTTTTTTTTTTGGCATTCTCTGAAATATATATATAAAACTGGACCAGAAACATAATATATTTTTCTAACAATTCTAAAAAATAAAGTAATCTGAGCCTGGTGTTTTCTCTGTTTTATTTAATGGCTATAGGATTTTCAGATTTTCTACTGTTTTTTTATTCTATTTTGGTAAATTATATTTTATTAGCAATGTATTCATTTCGCTTAAGTTTACAATTTTGTAGTAGTTAAGAGCTTAAACTCTGGAGCCAGATTGCTTGGGTTGAAATCTTTTTTTTTTTTTTTTTTCAAGATTTTATTTATTTATTTGACAGCGGGAGAGGGAACACAAGCAGGGGGAGTGGGAGAGGGAGAAGCAGGCTTCCTGCTGACCAGGGAGCCCGATGCAGGGCTGGATGTGGGGCTCAATCCCAGGACCCTGGGATCATGACCTGAGCTGAAGGCAGAGACGCTTAACGACTGAGCCACCCAGGCACCCCTTGGGTTGAAATCTTAATCTCCTTCATGTTCATGGAGTTGTGTTGAGTGGGAAACTTATTTAAAACCTTTCTGTCGGTGCCTGGGTGGCTCAGTCAGTTAAGTGTGTGCCTTCAGCTCAGGTCCTGGTCTCCAGGTCCTAGGATGGAGCACCTTGTCGTCGGGCTCCGTGCTGAGCAGGGATCCTGCTTCTCCCTCTGTCTCTGAGCCCTCCATCCCGAGCTTGTGCTGGATCTCTCTCTCTCTCAAATAAATAAATAAAATCTTAAAAAAAAAAAACCCTTTCTGAGTCTCAGTTTCCTCATCCATGAAATGGGGATTATAATAGTCTGTACCCCTTAGCGTTATTGGGAGGATTAATTGAGTTAATATGGGTAGAGCAGTTGGAAGAGTGTATAACTTATAGTAACGGTTCAATAAATGTTAGCTATGCTATCATTACTATCTTTTTTTCCTTTGCTTTCTTTGAGTTTGTTTTCTTTTTCTAACTACCATGGTCAAACATCTGGTTCATTAATTTTCAAATTTTTTCTTTTCTGTTTTTGGAGATTTTTTTTTAAAATTTTTTATTTGTTCATTGGACAGAGAGAGAGCACAAGTAGGCAGAGCGGCAAGCAGAGGGAGAGGGAGAAGCAGGCTCTCCACTGAGCAGGGAGCCTGGTGCGGGGCTCTATCCCAGGACCCTGAGATCCTGACCTGAGCTGAAGGCAGACGCTTAATGACTGAGCCACCCAGGCGTCCCAGAAGATTTTATTTTTAAGTAATCTCTGCACCCAATGTGAGGCTCGAACCCACAACCAGGAGATCAAGAGTTGCATGCTCTACTGACTGAGCCAGCCAGATGTCCCTCCCTGCAGGTTTGTTTTGTTTTGTTTTGTTTTATTAAGATTTTATTTATTTATTTGTCAGAGAGAGAGAGGGAGGGAGAGAGAGCACAAGCAGGGGGAGTGGCAGGCAGAGGGAGAAGCAGGCTCCCTGCTGAGTAAGGAGCAGGATGTGGGACTCTGATCTCTGGGATCATGACCTGAGCTGAAGGGGGCTTAACTGACTGAGCCAGCCAGGTGCCCCTCCCTGCACAGTTTTTTTTTTTTTTTTTTTTAAGATTTTATTTATTTATTTGACAGAGAGAGACACAGAGAGAGACAGAACACAAGCAGGGGGGAGTGGGAGAGGGAGAAGCAGGCTTCCCGCTGAGCAGGGAGCCCGATGCGGGGCTCGATCCCAGGACCCCAGGACCACGACCTGAGCCGAATGCAGATGCCTAACGACTGAGCCACCCAGGCGCCCCTGCACAGTTTTGATACATAGTATTTGCATTCCTGTTTAAGTCTAAATGTTTTCAATTTTCCGTATGATCTCTTTTTTGACTCTGAGTTATTTAGAAGTGTTTTTTTACAAAAATTCTGAAGTCATATTTTTTTTGTGCAAGTTATCTTTTTGTAACTGATTTTTAGTTTCAATGCATTGTGGTCATTGCTGTGGAGAATGCCTATTCCTTAAAGTTGGTGGAGAATGATTTATTTAGAGCCTAGAATGTGATTAACTTCTGGAAGTATTTTATGTGTACTTAGGAAGTACAAATTTTAATTGTGTGCACAATTTAACACACGTCCACCGGATCAAGATTGTTTACTTTGTTGTTTAACTCTTTCATACCATACTATTTTCTTTTATCCGTATGATTTATCAACAGTGAGAGAAGTATCCTGAAATCTTCCACTGTATTGGTGGATGGCTCTTAGCTCCTTGTTTCCCTCTAGGACAGTGCAAAGCAAGGCCAGCTTATTCTGGAGGTGACTTGCTTTGCCTTGCTGTAAAACCACCCAAACACATGCATTTGTTCAGATTTCAAAACCACTTTATTACCAAAATGAACAAAAGGAGAATGCTGTTTAAATTAAATAAATTACACAAACATTGCGAGTCCCGGGCTTCCCCAGGGATCCCATTGTCATAGGTCAGTATCACGAAGAACATTCAAAAGTATTGAAATTCTGGATTATTTCACTATCTTGCTCTCCTTTCCTGCCTCAGCCATGTCCAGAGAGTGGTCTGTCTGACTTTGCTTATGTTCTTTTCAAAGTCTTCCAGCAGTGAAGTTTTCTTCAATGTCTCCTTCTACCCCATGTGTTTCCAATTTTACCTCCACCGTCTGAACGCTTGGTTCAAAGGACTCCTCTGCTTGGGATGTCTTGAGGCTCTGTGACCTTCCCCTACCTCCTGGGCCTGAGTTGGACTTTGAAGGAGGTGGAGTAGGGGAGGATGAGTTGTCATTGGCTAAAGTTCTTGTCCTCCTGGAATTTGGCACTTCGGGTGCTGGGCACGGTGAATCCCAGATAACATTGTCTTTCGCCTTCCAAGTTTTGAGTTCCATTGGCAGCCAGATGGCATAATGAAATCACAGAGAAGCAATGCTTCTAGGCCAAGAATCTGTTGGTTCTTTGCCAGCACCCTCTCCTTTAACTCTAAGAAGACTTGCTAGCTGACTGGCTCACTCAACATACAGACACACAACGAGGGTACGCGGGTCAGGCTGAAGTTAGGAATCTAGGAATGGGGGCTTTTTTTTTTCAGGCTGGGCCAGCCCAACCTGTTGGGCAGGGTCATTGAGTTGAAGGAGCTTTGGGAGAAGCAGTGGGGGAAGACCGAAAGGTTTTCTGTGCACTTCATGGAAATTTCCCCAAATACTTGCACATGCCATCTATTTGTTTTCAAGTCAACAGTAGGATTCCTCTATTAACCCCTCACATCCATGAAGACCATACCCCTCTTTTCATCTGTCCTAGAAGAAGATGACTTCAGGTCCTGAGTTTGTTAAGGAAGCCCATGGAGGATGACCCAATCTGGATCAGCCCTTTGCCACGTTCTGCACCCACTTGGGGGATGCCACTGGCCCTTGGGGGGCTTCCTCCCCTGCCTGGCCAAAGGATCCAGGCCCCAAGCTGATAAGGGAGAGTTAAAATCATTGGCTCTTTGCCAAGTGAAAAAGCACAAAGCCAACTTCCTAAGGGCAGGGGTGGGGGGTGCATTTCTGAAGTCAAGGGGACCATCAGGGCTCAGGTCCCACTAGCTGGCCCTTGGTTACCCCTAGGACACCCCACCTCCCAAGTCTCTAGTACAAGAAAGGATTCCCAAAAGCTTTTATGCAGAATAACTGGCATCTGTTACTAGGTTGCCAGAGGATTCTGGTAGCTACCCACCCTGTCCTTTTTGGATTCCCCTCTGGGTCTCAAGTGGAAGGGAGCAGCCCCTGAAGGCAGGGGGGAGAGATCACATTTCAGAGGCTGCTGCGTTGGTGGGCTGCCCCTGGGGAGGTAGCTCTGGTGGCCCCCGAGGGCCCTGGCCACCCCCCAGGCTAGAGTCTGAAGTGCTGAATAGCCGTGGAGCTCCCAGCAGCCTTGAGATGAGGAGGAAGGAGGCACAGTCATCAAGACTAAATTCCTGGGGTGTCGGGAACACGTGGTCCCAGGAGTGCACAGCCGCCAGGGACAGAGTTGGGGCAGCTGGAGGGGGCAAGCCATCGAGTCCTAAGCAAGTTCATCCCCGTGTCCTGTGATAGCTTGACACCATCTGACACCAAGCTGTTCAGGCCCAAGGGCCTTTGCACACTAGGTCAGCAGGGGCATAATTTTCCCTTCTGTTCTTGGCTCACTCTTAAAGGCAGCAGTCGGTGGGGGGGCCGGGGGGGGGCGGGGGTCCCATCGGCTGCCTTGGGCAGGGCATGGGTGGGTGCGGTGGGGTGAGCAGTAGGCTTTCTCATTCTGTCCAGGGCCCTGAGCATCAGCAGGAGGCTGAAGAAGTGGTTCTCCTTGCTGCTGAGATAGGCTGGCTCTAGAGATGCCAGGAGGGAGGCAGGGGAAGGAGACAGGAGGATGAGGGGGAGGGGAGGGAGGAGCTGCCGTCCTGGTGGACGTGCTCTCCTCTACCCGCCACTCCTCATGGCCCCAGGCTCATTCTTCTTGGGAGTCCGGGATGGCACGTGCTCTGGAGGCAGCGTGGGGGCTGGCTGGGCCCTCACAGGGCAGTCAGGGTCTCTGTGTGAAACATACTCCCAAACATTTCCTGTAAGGCCATGGAAGGACAGGGGAGGGGAAGGGAGAGCGTTAGATGTGTCGAGTTCACGGGGGCTGCAACCATGAGGTGACCCTACGAGGCCCTGGTCAGAGAGAGCTTCATAAGTAAGTGTGTGTGAGTGTGAATGTGTACGTGAACAGGGGAGAGGCGGGCTCAGCCTAAGAGGCGAACTGGTACGGAGGCGACAAGAGAAGATGCTTGGAATCTCCCTAGAATCACCTCTGGAAGACTCTGTGACCTCCACATGTCCCTCCTCCTTTTCAGCTTCACTGTCTTTATTAGCTGACATGAGTGGGGAGATCAGACAAGCTGTAAAGTCCTTTCTTGCTCTGATAAGCTATTTGGGGGCCTAGCCAAGGTCTTTGGAATGTGCTGGAGATTCCACAGGAGCACAGTAATCAGCCTGCCAAATCTGTGTAGCCCTGGCTCTTCCCTAGTGTCTCCCACATGCCATCAGCCCTCCCAGAGACCCTGTCCGGAGGACATGGAACTCGAGCCCAAAAGGAATGCGAAGAGGTACAGAGTGAGATGTGATTCCCAGGCCCTAAGCCAGACTCCTCTCCAGCTAGTCATCTGGTTTCTCGTAACTCAGGGCAGTGGGGTGGTTGCTAGTTTCCCTGTCAGGATGACAGGGCCCTGTGGGGATAGGGCATCTGTCTGTGGGCGATAACATTTGTACTCTTCGAATTCATCTGACCCTCCCGGAATATAAGTTTCCTGAGGGCAGGGGCCTCACCGCTGTATGCCCACCCTGGAACTGTGCCAGGCAAGCAGTCCTCACATGTCTGTTGAATTCATGAAGGAACACGTGAATCCCCCACGGAGCCTGGGAGGCGGACAGGGCCAGCTATCACCCACACCTCCCCTACTTTACAGTGATAGAAACTGGGGCCCCGTGTGTTATGTGTCCGTCCAAGATCACGTGTGGATGTGGCGCACAGTTAAGAATAGATGTCAGTTCTCAAGAACTTCATCCAGTGTCTCTCCCTTCCCCATGTGATGCCTCTCAGGGAATGAGAAGAAGTAGGATCTGTTACTACAAGAGAGATGAGAGAGAAATGTTGTGGCCTTCAAGGTGACGGCTCTGGCTTGGCCATGAGAGAGCCCCGTGAACACCTTGGGTTTGGGAGGGTCTCCTTCCTGCTCCTGGCCCCATACCCCCCATGCCCCCCGCCCGTCAGCTCACGTGCTCCAAGTCCCAGTAGCTGGGGCTGTCCTCCTCCAAATCGTATAAGGACACCTCTGGGTCCACTGGAGCCTGGAAGGGGGGAAAACAGGTGCAGGATGAGCTCCATGAGTGAATGACACAGTCTGGTGCAAATGTCAGCCTCCGGGTGGGCACCATGTTTTCTGCCACATGAGTCACCCTCTTGCTTCTTCCCTGCCTTCCCTCATCTACCTCACAAAATGTAGCATTGGGTGGCCTTCCCTCTCAGAGCAGAGGGGTGCATCTGGGGCTACCCTCCTCTGTGGACACCTTTGAGGCAGGGGAGGTTGGCCTAGCCGACAAGGACAATTGGCTGGCTGCCTGACCGTGGGGAGTCCATTTCCCTTCTCTGGGAATCTGTTTCCTCATCTGTAAAAGGAGGATAATCAAACTCAATTTGCGGGCTTTCTACCTCACCATGCCATCAAAAAGGGGTGTGTGAGTGTGTGTTTAATTTATATATATGAATATATTTTGTAATATGTAAATATAAATATATTCTATAACATAAATTATTTTAGATATATAACCATAGTAACTGGGCATCATTTGTGCAATAACAAATGGTGAGGATTCTTCTAGAATCTCCCTCTTTTTGCTCTGTGGACAAGGCTTGTGAGGCCAGAAAGCCTGTTGTTCCTGCACAGTTGCTCTAAGTGTGGAGGGGCCTTGTGTTTTCCTGGGCAGTCTTTTAGCACTTAGAACAGATGGCTTTACCTTCATCAGTCTCTTACAGCAAAGAGCAAATGGTTGCTCCAGCCAGAAAAGCCTTTCTTATGACCCAGGGCAGGGGAGGTTTTCTATATAAGGAGGTCTGGGGCACAGAGTCCTGGGAGGTCAAGGGCAGGGGCTGCTGAGCTGAGAGGGACCCTGGGAGTGGCAGTGGGGAGGAGGTGGCTTGAGAGGCCCAGGCAGGGATCCCAGTCAGTGGGGTGGAGTTTTTCTGCCTCCCCAGCTTTCTGGAGTCCTAAACAGTGTGATTTGTAGCTCATTTGCACACCACTTAGTGAGCTAGCAAATTAAATGTCAAGTAACTGAGACAAAACTTGGATCCAGACTCTTCATCCATCACCAGTCTGAAATCTCTAAGCTCCGCTATATTAAAACGGGCAGGCTTGGGCGCCTGGGTGGCTCAGTTGGTTGAGCAACTGCCTTCGGCTCAGGTCATGATCCTGGAGTCCCAGGATCGAGTCCCGCATTGGGCTCCCTGCTCAGCGGGGAGCCTGCTTCTTCCTCTGACCCTCCCCCCTCTCATGTACTCTCTCTCATTCTCGCTCTCTCAAATAAATAAATAAATCTTAAAAAAAACAAAAAACAAAAAACGGGCAGGCTTACTCCCCTCCCTTTGCTCAAAGCCTCTTCTAGAACGAGTGGAGGAGGAGGGCAGGTAAACAGTGTCAGAATACTGGGCATACTCTAATACGCTTTGAGTGTTTGTGGACCTGGAAATTAATATTAATAAAAGATATTACAGTATACAAAGTGCTTTCAAGCGACATAAGAGGCATAATTATCAGTCTTAAAACGGAAGCAAAAGAAAAACGCTGTGAGGTAGGTGATGTTAATTTAGGGTGCTCGTTCTACAGATAAGGAACTCTGTAATGGCGGTTTCAGAAAAGTGGAAGGATAGACTTGGTGTTGGAACCCAAAACTTCCCCTGGGTTCTTTCTCATGCCCCTGGTCCTGCCATTTCAGTGCCCCAGGGCCTTGGATTCCCAACGTGCCCGGACCTTACCCCTTGGAAGTCACGTCCTGGGGCCACCTCTCTGGCATTTGCCTGGGCAAAGAGGACAGCATCATGTATGCTGGGAAAGACATGGTTGCGCTCTAGACACCCATCTTCAAAGACACCGCCATGGCTGATGTCGTTGTACACCTGGGCTGGAAGGAGGAAAAAGCTTTCAGCAAGATAACAGCCATGTGGTCTGGAGCTGGGGGTGGAGGAAGGATGGTGAGAGGAAAGGGAAGGAAGGAGAGAGAGGACAGAGCATGGTGCTCTTTGGGGCATCCAAAGGCCAGGCCAAGGCATTGGCCTTGCAATATCAATTCTGGACAGCAGAGGGCAACGTGAGCTTGAGGATGCTGAACCTTCAACCCAGGCAGAAGGAAGCAGTTTGATTCAGGGAGTCCGTACTTTGTGGGGATTGAGAGGGAAAGGCTGAAAACGTGCACGAGGAGGCTGCTGCCAATTCTACCCCTGGATGGTTCGTTCTTCCTCTTGTTTCTCTAGACCTTTCCCGCAGCCTCCAATGTGTGGCAGAGCCCTTACTTTTACCAGATGCTAGAGATGAGTTCCTGAGGACTGTCCAGGGAGGGACGAGTCCACTGACGCTAACTGCCATTGCAGATTCTCCCTCTGAGCAGGTTCCACAGAGCTTGGGTCCTGCTCAGGCTAACTCTGAAGTTGGCTGGCCCCCAGCAGGGCTCTGGTTCTCTGCAGAAGTGGGGTGCATGTGCCCTCTCACAACCTGTTATATGTCTGTGTGTGCTTGCCGTGGGTCCCCGTCCCTGCACTCAGCATCCGCACTGATGATGTGAAAGTCTTCTGCCCTGTGGACATGCACCCTTTGGAGATTGTGTGTGTATAAAACTGTGTACCTCTGTGCTCCCCAGATAGCTACAGTGTGTGTGAGTGTGCTTGATGCTCATTCATGGGCTTGCAAGCTTAGAGAAGATCCCCCAATTCATTCAATCAACCCCCTAATTTGACGTAAGTGGAAATTGATCCCTAGACATGAAGTGACTTGGCCAAGGATACAGGCAAATTAGTAGTGGGGCAAATTAGAATCCCAGTTGTCCTTTTTAGGCTCCATGCCCCCGCTCCCCCCTCACTCTGTTATTGAGACCCCTAGGGTATTTACACAATCTGGCCACAGTCTCTTCTGACTTGTGCTCGAAGCACTTATGAGCAGGTAGTAGTTGGGGGGAATTACTTGGGTGCTCCTCCCCTCCCCCACCCACCCCCAACCTTGGGCTCCTCTAAATGTCCTCCTTCTCTCACCGTGGATGTTCACCAAGAAGACCTTCACACCGATCTTCCCGTAGGTGGAGCTCAGCTAGAAGTGTTGGGGGGAAGGGTATTGGGATAGGGAGACAAAAGGAAAGGAATGTTCTGAGTGGGTCTCAAAAGTGATTCACAAAACGCACTTCAGAGGGGAAGCCAAACAAGTAAGCAACCCCAAGAGTCCTGGCAGCCAAAGATAAAAATAGCAGCAAAGCACACTGCTTCTCCCTGGAGTGTTGGCTGCCGGCTTTTCTGGAAAACAGGACAGAAATGGGGCTTTGCCAATGAGGCGGGCACTTAAAGACACCGTGCCCCCTTCTTATGGGGTCAGATCTTTGCTCTCAATAGCTTAGATTTCCAGATTCCACCTCTTTCCCGACTTTGTGGCTTCAGGCAGAAGCTGCAGGGGAGGATGGAGACCTCCCTGGACTCCGGGTCCAGGCTAGGGAAGCAGGCTGAGCCCACGGCTGGGGATGCGGCCTTCTGGGCACCTGGCTGATGTCCTGTGTATGATACTCAGCCTACATGCTCTCTGTATGCCTTGGGTTTTCCTGGACTGCCTTTCTGAGCCAGCTCTGAGGCTTGTTGATTCCCTACCATCGGAAGCGTTGCTGAAAAGGTATCAGATGGATGGATACCTTTATTCAAGTTGTCCCATGGACTGCTGATTTGGCCTGAGAATGTGGGGCACTAATATTATGTCTTCTTTTCTTCTCAGTTGACTGGAATTGACTGATGCTGGAGTGTCTGGGTGAGGGTGGGAAGGAACAGCAGACCGTGAACCAGGGCCAAGCTGGACTCTACTCAGAGGACCCTGGGGTGGGTTCCTGGTGGCCTGAGAAGGAATTTGGGATGGCCTCTGCTAGAGAGGGGTGCTAAGGCAGGTGGGACAGCGAATATCCCTCTGGTATTCCTTTCCAGCCACTCATCATCGTGGGCTCGTCTGGGCCTGGGCAGAGAGCAGCCTATCCTGATCATGTCTGGGGGAAAGCTCCCTTTTGAGCTTCCTCTCTCAGCTTGTCAAAGTGAGGGCTCCAGAGAAAGGGAGTGTGGGAGAACAGGGGTGAGGGTGTTGGGGTGGAGGGCAGCCGGCACCCCCTCTACCTGGGGCCTCACCTTGCCCAGGGCTTTGATGCCCATCAAGTCCACAAAGCTGACCCCACTCATATCGAGGATGATGGTGTGGAAGGTGACAAAGGGTGGGACGCTGGCCAGCATGTCACTGGGCTCACTGGGGGTCTCAGCGGAGGCTGGTGGCTCACAGTGGGCCTCTGGGGAGCTGTCAGGGCTGAAGGTGATGTAGGAGACACTGGCGCCATTAGCAGGAGTCTGGTTGTTGTTGGGGTCAGTTGGGGAGGCATTCTCAAAGTCCTGCTGGAGTTCCTGCAGGGACACAGTCTGGGGGTGGGGGGGGCGGTGCGGTTTGCAGGGAATCACCAAACTGAATCAGACTTTGCTATAGTTGAGGCAGGGGCAAGGAATGTGCAGGTGGGGGTCAATAACGTCAAGAACATAGAGGTGGTGAATACAAGCCCCCAGAACCCCACAGGGGAGGCATCTCCCAACGCCCTTTCCTCAGGCAGGGCCTGCATGCTCAGTCTCCCACCAACCAAAGTTGGAGGACCCATCCAGGAGAGGCACGGAAGCCTTGGCCCACTCTGCTGTGGGAGAAAGTGTTTTGGGAAACAATTGTGCTCCTTTTTACATGTGTCCGTGCCTGCTTGCTTCTCCCCAGAACTCCCACCCCCACATCAAAGCTGGGTGGGCACCCCAGCAAATTCACTGCTGCTCACCATTTGGGGTTGTTCATAAGTCTATGGGCTATATTCTATCTTAGCCAGAAAATGAGGAGGGGCCATGGGAGCTCCATGGTTACCCCCAGGAGCTGGCGTTCCCTCACCTAAGGAGAAGACTGCCCAGAGACCTTATGTCTTTGCCTCAAAGGGTGCTGGGAGGTGGGGCCCCAGGGGGCAGGATCTGAGAGGGTAGGCTGTTCCTAGCGCCAGTTCACCTTGGTTTTCATAAACAGAGACTTCCTCTGCTGTGTGGGCATCAGCCTCCCCTTCTCCTGCTTCCTGAGGTATTTTTGCTTGGCCAGCAGTACTTTCTGGGGGTCCACACCTGTCTGCAGGGAGAGAAACAATAGCAGTTTGGACCTCCACCCTCTTTGGAGGTGGCCTGCCTCCCAGCCCCCTTTCTCCCATCTTCTGGTTACGCTCTGTTCAGCCCTTCTGGTCACCAGAGTTCTGAACCTTACCTTGGCAATGACCTTTTGCCTGAAGATCTCCGAGTTGGCAAAGTAGAGGGGGGAGCAGTAAGTGACAATCTTAACCCCCTCGATTTCCTGGACCTAGGACAGGGAGACTGAGCTCAGGTTGCAGAAATGTCTTTATTGGCTTTTTTTTTTTTTTTAACTCTCCTTTATTTGTGTGTGTGTGTGTGGGGGGGGAGAGCAAAAGAGGGAGGTCGTAAGTTTGGATTACTTACCCTACTATAGGTCTTGGGATTAACATAAATGTCAGTGTCCATGACCTGGGCCAAAGTGTAGCCATTTCGACTGGGTGAAAAGGGAAAAGAAAAAAATAAGAACATGCTAATAGTCAATGGGCCTGGAAGGATGCTGGGATGGGAGATAGGGCAGAAGCAGGGTGGGATGGGTCCCTTCCTCCTCCCCCGGCATGTTGTGTTGGTCTTTCTGCACTGGAGACACATTCCTGGTGGCCTGTGGCTGGGCTATGACTAGAAGGATGACAGGCGGGCCCTTGACATAGCTCCCAGCCTGGGGCTCAGCACAGAGAAGAGGTGGGGTATGCAAGATGACAAACTTAGGTGGCCCTGGTTCTTGGTTTTGAGTTCTCAAGAAGAAAAGACAGGGCTTCCCTCATCTAGAGCATCCTTCCTGCCCTGGCCTGAACCTCTTAACCTTTTTATAGGAAGGACACGGCATCTGTCCTCTGGCCTCAGGGGAGGGTCTCATTTGGTCCAGGGACTGGCAATGCCTTTGGACAGACTCAGGGTCTTACCCTCCTGTTCTCTACTTTGGTGGGCCCCCAGCCCTCTGAGCCCATTAGGGCTTCCTCTGGGGATTTCAGGATATGGCGGTCAGTCAGCCCAGCCTGGGTGCGGGGGCCCCACTGCTGTGCCTTTGAGGCGGGGGACGCTGTTACTTACAACTGAGTCTGGAAGACCACAACCAGGGCGGAGAAGGCGACGCCCACAGCCACCCCATATGGCAGGCTCAGGAAGAAGGAGGAGAGGAAGCTCACCACCCAGACGCACTGTGAGGAGAGAGATGTCAGAGCAGGCCTGGGGAGAAGGCTGCCTCTTTTGGGAGGTCTTCCTGGAATAGCCAAGGTCATTCTCTGTTTGTGCAACCTCAGACCCGCCCTCCACTTTTCATGGCATTTTTGCATTATCTTATGTATTGGTGCTCTGGGTATGCTTGCACATTTCCCCTAGGTTGAGTGTGGCGAGCAAGCTTGCTTGGTTTTTAGTAGACAACCCCAGCCCACACAGGGAGGCAGCATGGCGTATGCTGAGAGCATGTGGGTCAGATACACCTGGGTCCAAAGTTTCATTCTCCCACTTACTAGTGATGTGAGCCAAGTTGCCTGATCCACAAAAGGGGAGTAATGATACCTGTTTCATGAAAGGATTAAAGAGCAAAAGCACCTAAGGGTCCTAGCCTAGTGATGGGCGCCCAGTGGTCACTCAACAAACATGAGCTCCCTTTCTCCATCTTCTCTGTGTATGCCCAACACATGCTCAGTGGTCTTCCCAGTCTGATGGCCTGGGGTCTGGTTGTGTGGGTGGAGGGCAGGATTGGATGCAGTTTGGATGGTTGCCCCCTTGATTGTCCTTTACAGTCTCCCAAATCCCTCTAAAGGAAATAATTTTGCCCACATCCTATAGAGAACTGTGAGGTTCAGATGGGAGCCCAAAGCACAATGTAAATATCAGGGACTATTGTCATGGTGGGATAAAAGCAGATCTTTGGGGTGGGAATTGGAACATTATTTTCCCCTATCCTCATCACTCACTGGGGGACCCCAGATGGACTGCTCACTTCTCTGGCTTTAAGGATCTTCCTCGGGTACCATGCAGGTAACCCCAGGAGACAGTACCACGCAGAAGTTTGACGTCTAAGATTTGGGTTCCAATCCTGACTCTACCACTTACTAACCCTGTGGCCTTTGACAAGTTACATAACCTCTCTGAGCCTTGGTTTCATTATCCTTTTTTTTTTTTTTTTTTTTTTAAGTTTAATGTATCTAAGTAATCTCTACACCCAACATGGGGCTTGAACTCACGACCCGGAGATCAAGAGTTGCATGCTCTTCTGACTGAGCCAGCCAGGCACCTCTTGGTTTCATAATCTTGAAAGGAGGTCAGGAAATCCTCTCTCATAAGTTATGGTGGAGCTTAAATGGGGATCATTGTCAGAGCTGTCAGTACCTGGTAGCCTTAATACTATTGTCCACCGTGAGATGCGCTGGGACAGTGACTAATCATAACAATCAGTCATGTTTGCTGAGCGTTGCATGGTTGCAGGGTGCTTTCCCATGTGATCTCATTTAATCCTCATAACCAGTGGGTGATGAAGCCATGACTGTCATCCCCATTAGAGAGGAGGAAATAGCACTCCCTAGAAATCTGGCAATTTACTCAAGATCCTGGTATACTGGCTTTAGGTTCTAGAGTTTTTGTTATTGTTGTTTTTAAAAACTATTTCTTTTTGCTTTTTTTGGAACTACAGATCATAAAAATAATCATAGATAAGTTTTACTGAACCCAGGACACAATTCAGACAACATGCTCTTTACTTGTATTATCTCGTCTTCCTCATAAACAACCCTGGTGGGTGGGTAGAGAGTATAAGATACCCATTTCTCAGATGAGAAAGCCAAGGCTCAGAGAAGTTAAGGGACTTGCTTAGGGACTTGCTGGTTTAGGGCCAAGCCATAGAGCCAGTGAGCCATTGAGTTAGGATGCGGACATAGGATGTCTCACTCCAAAACCTGGGATCTTAATAGCTTGTTCTGCAATGAGGGAGGAGCAGAGCAGAGGGATCACCGACAGAAAGAGCTGATAGGGCCACAGGGTTGGAGGAGGGGGCCAGGGGCCTGGAGGGATACCCAGAGGCCACCCAATACCTACACAGTCCAGCTTGCTCTTCTTCCACAGGTAGTAGGGGTCAGCGAGCTGCTTGAGGGAGTTCTTGAGGTTGACGGCTATCAGTGCTCCTAGCACAGACTGGGGAAGCAGAACGTTGTTCTTTCTCACCTGAGGTGTCCCCTTCTTCTTCCCCGTCCTATGCACCCCCGTCCCCGGTGTCCAGCAGGACAGAGCTACAGTTTCAGAACATCTCTGCTGGCAGAGCCCCCAAATCTCCGCACTCCATCTTAGCACTGGAGAGTGCAGGTGCTAGGCCATGTGGCCCATCCTGGCTCTTCCCTGCCCCGCCCCTCCCCTCCCCTCTTCCCTCATCTCCAAACCACCTGGTGTCCAGGGCCTTCCTAGTCAGACACTCCTAAGCACTTGTAAACGCTGATGGGGGGATTGACCCTTAGGTCAGAAGGCTGGAGTTGGCGACCAGCCCTGCACTTGTGAGCTGTACCACCACAGATCACTTAGACTTTCTCAGCCTCAGTTTCCCTCACCTGTAAAATGAGGAAAGTAGAACCTGTGTTTTCGACTTCACAGGATGTGATTAGGACAAAGTGTGACCATGTGGGCACTTTGTAGAGGGTTACGCAACACTTGGGGATTGTCTGTACTGGAGTCTCCTGCTGGGCTCCGCTTTCCCACTGCGCTCTTACCTTGGGGAGAGGGTACAGATAGGACCCCAGGACCAGCATGGTGATCATCACGACCAGGGACACACACAGGCTTGCCACCTGTTCCGAGAAAGGGTTGGGAACAGGGCATAGGTGTGACATTCTTGCTCTTATTTCCAACAGATGCCTTTGGTGGTGTAGAGACCGATGAGGGAAGAGGAAGTTTGGAGAAGCAGCTGGCCTGGCTTGCAGGGGCCCTGGCTTCTCTGGGGCAACTGTTTCCTTCCCCTCTCCCCTCTTTGCCCCACTCCCCTGGTGCAACGCTCACCTGGGATTTTCCTCCAGCTCCATCCACAGCCAGAGTGACAGAGAGAGCACAGCAAATGACATGGATTTTAAAGAAGGAGCCAAAGAAGTTGCTGCAGCCCAGGGCGATCATCTCCTGTGGGGACATGGGCAGGATTGGAGGCTGGGGCGGCGGCGGGGGGGTGGACGGGGGGTGGGCGGCGGGTATAGACCAAATGTAGTCATCCATGCAAGCTGGATCTTGGGCCTCGGACTTGAGAATGACCCTGCTGCTAGAAAAGCCAGACACTCCCAACCAAGCCAAGTCAGCCTCCCGTGGTCAGAGCCCCTCCTCCTCACCGGCAGGCACCTTCCTCACTGCAGCCCAGAGAGCCCCACGGTACACCTGTGGGACCCGGCCTGTCCTGCTGGGCCTTGCTGGCAGTGGCTGGACCTACCTGGTTAGAATCCACGTCATAGCCGTGCTTGCTGGCCAGCGTCCGGCCCATGGCCAGGTTGATGACGTAGCCCACGATGGCCAGTGAGAAGGCAGTGCCCATCATGTCCTTCCACTGGGAAACCACAGGCAACACAGGACTGGGGAACCTGCCAGGGAGCCAGAGAGGAGGCAGGGCCCAGACGTGTGAGAAGAGGGAGGGCGAGTCCTTCCTCAACCCGCAGGGACCAGCAAGGCCCCACTATGTGCCAGATCTACGTCCTCAGTATGACGCCGTGGGGCAGCCACCGTTACTCCCATCGACAAAGCAGAAACCAAGACGTAGAACCTCACTCGTCCGAGGTCCCAGAGCCAGTAAGGGGTGGGGGCCCCATGTGTTCACGCCCAGGTTCTGGACTCTATGCTCATCTGTGCACAGATCCACAGCCACCACCACTCCCTGCCCTCTCCCCCTCCACCCTCCACTCCTGCCCTGTGGCACAAACACCGCCCTTCCCCTCCCAGGGCCCAGCGTGGTGCCTGGCACAGAGTGGATGCTCCATACGTGTTGTTTTGATGCTAATAGTTTCCTTTCCACATGGAGGAAAAGAGCCAACGCATTAGAGCTGGCAAAGAGCCAGCAAAGGGCTGATCAGAGAGGCTTTGCTTTAGCGGCATCCAGTAAATGAGACTTTTGGGGTGTGTGTGTGGTAGTTAAGATTCACTGTTCATAACACATCTAGCATTGGCTGATTGTATGGCTCTCTTCTGTAATAAAGTAACAGAAACCATTCCCATTCGGTCGGTGTCCCAGAGTCTACAATCCTCTTTCATAGAGGTCGTCTCATCTGGGTCTCTGAGCCCAGGCCTTCATGGAGGGGTGTTGGTAGGGGGTGGGCAGGCTTCTTGACCACCCAGACTCACCCATGTTGGATCTCTCCCACGATCTGCATGTGATACTTTTGGGGCATCTTACAGCCCCCAGAGATAGCTGTTGCCACCACCACCTGTAAGCCCCAAAATGGAGAATGGGGATTGGCAGGGGTCTCTCCCAAGCCTCCCTCTTCTCTGGGGACCCCAAATCCCATTCCCCTGCCTCCTCAAAGAGGAACAACCCAAGAAGCAGGAAGAGTGGGAGCCATGTACAGAGGGATGGAATGGATTCACCCAACCCCCTATTCTACTGGCTGCCAGTGGAGGGGGAGGTAAAAGTGGGTAGGGGCCCCCTTGGCTTTGGCTGGAGCTGAATCCCATTTCTCATGGCCTCTCCAGCCTGGCCCCCAACACCCCAGCCCAGGGCAGGGTCCTTACCACAATCATCTCCGTAGGGATGGGGAAGCGGATCCTGTGCATGTAACGAGCATTGAGTTCCTTCACCAGCACCAGGAAGATGCCACTGATGAGGGCGAAGATGAGCGAGGCGATGTTGGTGTGGGGGAGGTTTTTGCAAATGTCAATGAAGGTCTGGTGGAGAGAGCATCATGCTCATGGGCTCCCACCTCTTCTTCCCATACTATCCCCACCCTTGGGTGTCTAACCCCGTGGAAGGATGTCATCAATTCAAATGGAGGCACACCAAAGCCGAATTCAGACCCTGGTCACCCACAGCACCCCATCTCCCACTTCCCTCTCCCAAAGGGCATGCTGGGAGCTCATGCCAGGATGGGAATGCTGATTCTCTTCCTCTTTCTCTAGAAAGAATTCAAGCTCAAGAAGGAGGGTTGGAGATTAGACATAAGGAAGGACTTCCCGGGCAAGGAGGGGTTGAGGCACTACACTGGGGAACTGATAGAGAGTGCACAGCTCCTTTTCAGCAGGGATTAACCATAGAGAACCTCAGTGAGCCCTCAAAGTCATGAGTTTCGCCCTCCCTCCCAAAGTGGGAACCCCCTGAAAATCCTCTCTGAACCATGGGTCAACCAGCCCTTGCTTGCGAACATCTTGTAAGGAGGGGCTCACAACTTCTTCAAACAGTAACCCCGGCTCTGTGCCTGCTTGAGCCCCTCCCCATCTGCAGGGGTATGCTCCTAGACTCACAAAAACAATGGACCCCGGGCCTGCGTAGGAAGGGATGGTCAGTCCAAAGATGTACTTGAGCACCGAGATCAGGATCTGTAGGCCGGCTGCCGTCATGAAGCCCCGAATGAAGGACTCGGAGAGGTAGATGGCCACAAAGCCGAACTGCACGAAGCCCAGGCCCATCTGAGACGAGAGGGGTGGGGGAGGGGGGACGACCGAGAAGGGTCAGTGGTGCCCACACCTGCCGGACCCAAGCCCAGGCTGGAGCTCCATGCAGCAGCCCCAGGGAAATGAGCCCTTTGTGACTGGCCCTCTACTGTGCCGGCTGACCCCGGGTCTGCTTTGGGGCGTGGGCTTCTTTGTCTCTTCCTCTCTCTGGCCTCAGTTTTCTTATCTGAAAAATAAGCCGGGTCCTCCCCCAGTGTTTCCTCTCTCAGTAGATGACACCACCATCCACCCAGTGGGCTAACCAAAAACTTGGGGGTCATCCTCCTTCACCCGCACATCCAGCCTACCGCCAAGCCCTTTAACGCCCCTGGCCAAATGTTCCGTAAGTTTGCCCCATGGGGGCAACTGTGGGGACCCTCTCTGTGGCCACCACCCTGGTCTAGGCCCTCGTGAGTCTTGCCTGGGCCTCTGCAGTTTCCTGACAGGCCCCCTGCTTTGATTCTTCTAATCCACCTCCCACCTCTCTTCTCTATGGCCTGAATGATCCTTATAAACTGCTAATCCGACCCAAAGGTGCTGCGTAGGGGACAGACCTCAGCCTTCATTGTCTAGCCTCTGCCTACGTTTCCCTCTGGCCCATCCCCCAAAAGCCTCCTGCTGTCCAACGCCAAACTTCTTGCCTTGTCATTCCCTGATCAGTTCATACTCTCAGGCCTCTGACTCTTGCCGGCTGGGGGGGCACTGCAGGTCCTTCTGTGCCTCATTCATTTGGTTCCTGGCCAACCTCTACTCATCCTTTAAGATGCAGGTCAAATGTCACCTCCTCTCTGAGGCGAGGCCTTCCCTGACTCTCTGCCATTTGAACATAGCTCTATTATGCGGCTTATCTCATGGTCTACAAGTTTATCTGTTGACATGGCTACTTCCTCTGCTGGGCTGGGAGCTCCTGGGGAACCGGGCCTCTTCTCTGCTTATCTTTCTCCTAAGGCCCAGCTCCTGGCTCAGCAAAGCAACCAGAAACATTAAATGAATGAATGGACGAATTAAAGGTGTCTTCTGAGGTTGCTTCCTGCTTTTGTGTTCCACCACGCAGTGTTTCCCTTCATAAAACCTAGCAGAGGGGCGCCTGGGTGGCTCAGTCATGAAGCGTCTGCCTTCGGCTCCGGTCCTGATCTCAGGGTCCTGGGATCGAGCCCCGTGTCAGGCTCCCTGCTCAGTGGGGAGTCTGCTTCTCCCTCTCCCTCTGCTCCTTCCCCTGCTCGTGCTCTCTCTCTATTTCTTAAATAAATAAAATCTTAAAACAAAAAATAACCCTCCCCCCCAACCCCAGCAGAGGCCTTTGCAATTAGTGCAATCGATGTGGTGCAGGTGAGCCTGTGACTTGGCGCAGAGGAGGCCGGAGGTGGATAAATAAGGGATGTCAGAGAAATAGGAGGACCGTGCTGGCAGAGGGATGGGCATTGGAGAGGGTGGTGGAGAGAGAGCGTGAGCCTTCCAGACAGTCTGGGACTCAGGACAATTTTGCCAGGTGCAGATGCTGGTCTTACGGACCTGCTGGAGGTGGGTGAGGAGAGACACCAATTTTTCAAGGTCTTTTGTGGCCCCGGAATGGGGAAGTGGGAGGAGGTAGAGCCCTGAATCAGCTTTAGTGTTAAAACTGGGGTTTGGAGGCAGGGGCAGGACGGAAAGATGCTCTCCTGAGGCTGGGCCCTCGGCAGGGACGTGGCTGTCCCCTCACCTGGATGATGGCAGTCAGGCAGGCCAGCGTCGCTGACACATGAAGCCTCTCGGCCTCCATGGCCGCCGTGTCCACGTAGCTCTTGTTGGTGGCATTGTTGAAGACCCAGAATTTCGACTCTGGGGCCAGCTGCAGACAGATGTTACCCACCAGGATGCTGATAACCGCAAAGGTACCTGCAGTGCCCCCCCAGCCGGCAAGAGTCAGAGGTTTGGACCGCATCCCTGGACAACAGAAAGGGGCCCAGGAGAGCTTCCCTGCCCCCAGAGGGACGGGTCCCCACACCTCCAACGTTCCTCTCCAGCAAAACAACAACCGCTCACACGTCACCAGGACCTATACTTTCAAGGTGCTTTCACCTCGGCTGTTAGTATTTCGCTGGGCGTATGAAGAAATGAGTTTGGAAACGCAAGCAGTGCCTGACCCAGAAATAGGCCTTGTGACTAGGCGCCTTCTCTCCGTGTCACTTAGCACCAGAGAGCTCCAAGTGTCCCTGCCGGGACCAGCCTGAGAGTGACTTGGTAGTTTCTCACGTCTGTTTGGCACTTTAGGGCACATATTATATCCTGTTCTACCGACACATTCCAGGGAGGGAGACAGAACAGGGAGCTCTAACCGAGTTCACGGCAGCTATGTGGTTTCTCTAAGGCCACAGGGGACCTGAGACTGACGCCCACAGTGACAGTCCCTTCGGGACCAACGGCACCTACTCTAGGAGGATGTGGATGGAAAACACCCGAAGCCCCTCTGCCACGCCACCTGTCCTTGGGGTCCAGGCCACCTTGCCTGCTGGGAGGGGTGAGGCCTTACCTGGCACCATCTGGTGTATACCCCCCAGGAAGAAGTAGGTGAGGAGGGGGAAGAAGGAGGAGTAGAGGCCATTGACAGCAGGAAGGTTGGCCAGCAGAGCAAACGCCATGCCTACAAAGGAAAAAGAGATTGCAGGCTCAGGGGCATGGCTGGGTTATGGAGGCCATGGGGGACCGGGAGAAGAGGAGGGGGAGCAACAGGCCAAGCCTACCTAGGGCACCGACCCCTCACCTTGTGGGACCTGGATGGATCCCCCACTGAGTCCGCCCAGCAGGTCGGGGATGATGTAGTCTTTGACCTTGTACTTGGGGAGCCAGGAGAGCACGGGGAGCAGCCCAAACACCGCAGCTTTGATCTTGGCCGAGGAGCATCTGGAGGGGAAGAGGGCAGGCTTCCAGTCGGCATGGCGTGATTTGGACACTCCGAGTGGGGGAGGGCTTTTAAGATCCCGTTCCTGGTCATTCATTCATTCACTCACTCATTCATTCGGAATTCATTCAGAATTCAGTGAGCACCCACACCATGCAATATGCCGGGGACACCGAGAAGAAAATGCAGGGGCTTTCTTTAGAGCGCCATCCACATGCCCTGGGCTTTAGCTGGGCATCTTCTGGAGCTGGCTGCTCATCGGGGACGTCCACAAGACTTGGCGTAAAGGCATGGATTTGTGGCCACTTAGCCTTCCGAGCTGCGGGGTCCAGCCCCTATCTCAGATGGTCTGTCTCCAGTCTGATGGAACACAGGCCAGGGCACCCAGGTCTGGGCTCCTGCATCTTGGTGTACACAGTGGGTTGAAATTACTTGCTTTTCATCTATCGCTCTCACTGGACAGCAAACCCCACCATGGCCCAAAGTCTGGCTCTCTTGTTCATCTAGTATACCTTGTACATTGTATTGGGGTGCTGAGTAAATATTTGTTGAGTAAATGAATGCATGAATGAGTGAAAGCGTGGGCTGGTATTGAAACTCAGAGTAGGGGTTGCCGCCATCTTTGTTAGCATTGCCCCCCAAAGAAGGCTCCCTCATCCCTGTAGGGTATGCCTTGGCAGACCCCCTGTCCTTCGTGTTTGCTGACTCCAGGGCTAGCGTTCTTCCTACTGCTAATTCACCGGGGGGCGGAAAGAATGGGGGAGCTGTTCGTTTGTCGTTGCAGGGTGGGGAAAGTTGATTCTTCCCCTCTTTGTTGAACACCTGGAGGACTTTTCATAGAAACTCAGGAGTGGGAGGAACAAGGGCCTACGGACGCAATGGTGACAGCTCGTGGATTGATGACTGGAAGGGGTGGGAGGCATTTGCTTTTCTTCTCCCAGTTGAGGGAACTCAGATACTCGGGGCCCATTTGGTGACTCACTGGCCTGCTCTGATTAGGCCTCCTTTCCTTCCTGGCACCAATTCCTGCTCTTGGCTGTTGTTCAACAATAGTTTCCCTGATCCTGAGTCCCCTGGATGGCACCCAAGACTGAAATCAACACAGATAATGCTTTGCGCCCTGCGTAGAGCCTGGACAGATTTTCTGTCCCAACCACCACTCTGGGAAGGGCATCACCATCAACATCCTCTGGGGGCAGATGGGTGCCTCTCCCATCCTTGGGATGGTGGACAGGGTATTGGACTGGTGGCAAATAGCTTAAAGCATCTCTTAAGATTTGTTAAGGGAGAACCAGCCCTGCAGGAACTTGCTCAGGTTTGTTTGTGGCAGGGAAAACTGGACTCACAAATAGACAGCTGACTGGGGGACGACACGCAACTCCCCTGAGGGCTCATACCTGCCGGGCCTAACTGGCAAGCCTGCTGTATGTCGGGCAAGGCAATCTGAAGCCTGAGAGAAGGACTGGAAACAGATGCCAAACACCTACACAGAGGCTTCAGAGGCCAAGAGGGAAGTGGACAGAGGGATTAGTTTTCTAGCCATTCATTCATTCATTCATTCATTGAACAAATACTTATTGGAGAACCTTCTGGGTGTCCGGCAGCACTGTTTAAGGCTCAACACCAGCCTCGTGGGAATTGTTCGTTCCCTCCATCACTTTAGAGTTTTAACCTATAATCTTTTCGGCCAACAGCAGATACCCTCAGCCCTCCAGCACAGAAACAACCCAAACTTCCCAGCTTAGTTTGGGAGCTAAGGCTGGCAGAGCCCACCTGTCCGAGGAGCACAGCGGTGGGTATGGTGCCGGGACACTGAACCCCCAAGGCTTTGGCTGTAGCCTGGCAGAAATGGAGGCTCCCAGGAGAAGCAGGGTTGGACCAGGGTTTGTAGGGAAGACTCAAATGGGTGATTCCCCCAGCCTAAACCAGTTCCACCTGCATTGCCACTTCAGCCATTGCCAGTGACCTCAATCCAGGTAACTGAATCAGCTGTTTCCCCAGAGGAGTGAGGAAGAGTAAGCCAGCCCACAGCCAGGACTGAGCAAGGTCTGCCAGGAGTATAGGAAGGGGGAAGGTGAAGCTCATAGCCTCGGGTTTCTGCAGGATGAGCAGAGATCATCTCATGAAGCCCCCTCGTTGGAGGTGAGGTTCTGCTACCCACCAGCACAGTCCCAGAGATCTGAGAATGGAAAGAGCCCCGGGAGTCTGGCAGGACCGTATCCTGGTAGGTACCCTTTAGGAAAGCCCAGGAAGTTAGGGGCTGCCTTTGGGCATTCTCTGGATCAGGAGAAGGAAGGAACATCTAGGAGGGAAAGAGGACAAAGGACACAGAGTGGTGGTGGCTTCAGATTTTTCTCGATCAGGAGGGAACAGGACTTTAAAGGAAGGGCTCTGACACTCCCACCCGGTTGTAGGATCTTAAAATCAGGGCTCCGAACCTCCCCTCCCCAGGGCTTCCCCAAGCCCCGTCTGAGCCATACCAGCACAGGAGCCATACCCCAGTGCAGACAAGATTTTTGTGGGGAGCAGAGGAAAGAGGTGTCTGGGCTCTGGGCCATGTTACCTGAAGGCATTGCGGAGTTTCTCTCCCAGTGGGTATGTCCGGTCCTTCTTCTCAAACTCATCATCAAAGAGGGTGAGAGAGTATGCGGCTCTGTCTACCACGTAGCGGGGCCTGGGCTGGCTCATGTCTGGGGCATTGACAAGCTTTGGGAGAGGCAGAGGAGGGGAAGATGAAGGGCATCCCTCACCAGCGCCAGGTCTCTCTAGCTCTGGCCACAGCAGGGTTTTATTCTGGTTTTCCCCGCCCCCACCCAGCCAGGTGCCTCCCTTCCCGCTTTCAGGTCTTTCCACCAGACTCACTTCTTTTGGTGGCCTTCCTTCCCAGGCACTGATGATACACACACTTGCCCTGGCTGTTTTGCTTGGTGCTCAGCGTGTGGCCGGCACGCCACACGTGTGACGTCACTGTTACCCCCGCCGAACACCAGGCAAAGAGGAGGTGGGAATGCAAGGGCAGGAGACGTCACAGCTGGAGATCAGCCTGTGGGTCCTGTCCCCCGCCCTCAACCCTGGCCCCTGGTGCCCCAACAAGCCCCTTCGCCCTCCCCAGACCTCAGTTTCCCCAGCAGAAAGGCTCATAGCATTCAGCAAGTCAGCTTGGAAGAAATAGAGAAAACGGCCTGCCCGGAGGCAGGGGGATGGCTGGGGTGACCTCAGAAAGACCCTGCTTGAAAGAGACACCTAGGACTTCACTAACAGGTTTTCCCAGGGGCATAATGGTGCGTTTGGGGAAGTCAGGATGGTCTGAACCAGCTGGCTCTCCCACGGCTTCCTGTGTCTAACCTTTCCCCCACCCTTGTGTACTGGTGTTTCTCTCCTCCTTGCTTTTTGCGCAACCTTGCTGATGTTCCAGGAGCTGAACAGGGCAGAGCTGAGTGCCAGGGCCCCTGAGGCCCAGAGGAGCTCCCTGTGGGAACCATCCCCCCTTCCTCCTACAATGACCGACTGGTCCCTCCTCCTGTCCCCTGCTCCTGGCAGCTGGGAGAAACCCCTGGGAGGACCTTGGAGGAAGGAGGGAGAGGGAGGAGGTGGGGCAGGTTTGAAGGAAGGAGGTGGGGAGTGTGGGTGGCCATGGCAGTTTGACAAAAGATTTGAGATGGGGTTGGAAGTGAGAAATCACTCGGGGGGCTAGGGATGCCCCTTGGCTTCCTACGGGAGAACCTGGGTGCATAGGGGTTATCGGAGGGGAGCAGGCCGGTGGATGCCTTTTGTGGAAGAGAACATGGCAGAGAGATGGAAAGTACATTAACTAAGGGTCCAGAAACCTGGCTTCTGATCCTGGCTTTACTGGTGAGGGAACAAACAACATCATCCCTCTGAGTCTCGGATTCCTAGTCCGTAAAATGGGAGTAACATATCTATCTCACAGGGTTGTGAGCATCAGATGAGTTATGGGCAAGAAATATTTAAAATGTACAAAATGTATTTAAAAATGTTTAAAATGTACAAAAAATGTTTTTTTTTTTTTTTAAGATTTAAAATGTACAAAAAATTAGGCAAATGTGAGTTGCTATTATCGGTAGGATTGTACCCAAGCTGATGAAGTTTGGGCTGGTGCATTCCATTCATTTGGTCATGGGACCCCAAGGCCCATCAGAACCTATAAGCAGGGGCGCCTGGGTGGCTCAGTCGGTTAAGCGTCTGCCTTCGGCTCGGGTCATGATCCCGGGGTCCTGGGATCGAGCCCCACATTGGGCTTCCTGCTCAGCGGGGAGCCTGCTTCTCCCTCCCTCTCTGCCCATCCCCTCTGCTCATGCTCTCTCTCTCTCTCTCAAATAAATAAAGAAAATCTTAAAAGAAAAGAACCTATAAGCAAGGGCTGGATGCCTGGCAACCCCCCAGGGTGATATCCAACTGGGAGGGGGCAGGAATTTGAATCTGCCCACAGCGCCTATGCCCAGCCCCTCGCCAGGCACTTCGTACGTACTCACCAAGTGTTTGTGGAATGAATCCATAAATGGTGTTTTGGACAAGACATGGGCAGAAATGAGTAAGAGCAATGGCATGGGAGACATTTCAGTGGGAGAAGTGCGAGACAGAGTGACGCAAGGAAAACCAGCACACGTGTTAGAGCCAGAATGATCTGGGTTCAAAGATTCAGTTTCTTCCTGTGGAAAGAGCCAAGATGTCCATCGACAGATGAATGGATAAAGAAGATGTGGTACATATATACAATGGAATATTATGCAGCCATCAAAAGGAATGAGATCTTGCCATTTGCAACGACGTGGATGGAACTGGAGGGTATTATGCTGAGCGAAATAAGTCAAACAGAGAAAGACATGTATCATATGACCTCACTGATATGAGGAATTCTTAATCTCAGGAAACAAACTGAGGGTTGCTGGAATGGGGGGTGGGAGGGATGGGGTGACTGGGTGATAGACACTGGGGAGGGTATGTGCTCTGGTAAGCGCTGTGAATTGTGCAAGACTGTTGAATCTCAGATCTGTACCTCTGAAACAAATAATGCAATATATGTTAAGAAAAAAAAAAGAAGAAGAAGGTAGCGGGAGGGGAAGAATGAAGCGGGGGAAATCGGAGGGGTAGACGAACCATGAGAGACGATGGACTCTGAAAAACAAACTGAGGGTTCTAGAGGGGAGGGGGGTGGGAGGATGGGTTAGCCTGGTGGTGGGTATTGAAGAGGGCACATTCTGCATGGAGCACTGGATGTTATGCACAAACAATGAATCATGGAACACTTCATCTAAAACTACTGATGTAATGTATGGGGATTAACATAAGAATAATAAAAAAAAGGTTCAGTTTCTTCATCTGTAAATGGGGATAATAAGAGTCCTGGGTGGTTGTCATGAGGATGAAATGAGACTGTGTGTGTGAAGTGGCTGGGCTTCCCAGGCCCCTAGTAAATGGTAACGGTGATGACTACTATTATTAAGATGGGAGGCTGCTTCCTTCCAGCCCTTCACCCTTCAGTGAGGCAGGTGCCCTTGCTCCTCCTTCTCCTCCCCACCCTCTCCAGGGGCTGCAAGAGTCTAGCTTTCCAGTGGCTTCCCTGGCTAGCCCTTTGGGAGCAATGAGTGGGGAGCATGACCGTCCAGAGGAACCAGAGCTCCAGCCTGGCTTGGGAGAAGGACCTGGGGTCTGTCCCTGGCCACTGAACAGACTGTCTGCAAGGGAATAGCCAAGATGTTGAAGGGGAGCTGGACCCGAAGAGGGAGCCCCTTGGAAGAGCCCCTTGGAAGAGGGGGTGATGGGAGATCTTGCTTCCGGGCCCCTGGCAGGTGGTGGATGGCCCCTGAAACCCCTTCCCAGGCTGCTTTCAAAGGTTCTAAGTCCTAGCAGTGTGTTTGTGGGGGAGGGGGTTAACATCTGATTTCACAGAACCCTGCTAACCCAGCGCCCCCTCACTTCCCCATTTCCTCAGTGGGATCTGCCTCCCTGTCACCCAGGCCACCCTCACATTTGTCCCTGCCCTTTCTCTCCCCACCCTGGCCTCCATCTTCAGCTGTTCATCAAATGTCACTGCTATTTCTTTCCAGTGTCCCTCCTGTCCCTCACCCCCTCAGCTCTTATCTCACACCTGGACTATTGCATTAGTCTTCTGACTGATTTCCCTGTCTCCAGCCTATACCTCCTGATCAGAAACCCTCAGCCTCCTCATTTCCAGGAGGATCAAGCCCAAACTCCTTATTTCCGCATGTTTGTCCTTTCGCCATCTGGCCCTGTTTTGGTGGAGTTGGTAGAATCGTTGGCTGGGTCCCCTGGCGCTGTTCAGCACCCCCAGACAGGCTCGGCTCTGTTTTACCCCTGTGCTCTGTCCACACTTTTCTCCTTACCTGCCATGCCCTGACTCATTTTGCCTCCTTAGACCTGCCCATCCTTAAGACCTGCTGACGTTCCTCCTCCTCCCCTCCTCTTCCCTCCCTCTCCCCTTGGCCTTGCCCTCTTCCCCTCTTCTTCTTCTTCTTCCTCCTCCTCCTCCTCCTCTTCCATGAAGCCTTTCTTGACCATCCTGGCCTGGGATCTCTTTTTCTCCTCTGACCTCCCTTTCTTTGAGCCTCTCCAGCCTGCACACCAATGTTGGCTTTGACCACTCTCGGCTGTCACTTCCAGGGAAGGGAGGGAGGCAGGGGGGCGGTGGCGGTGGTGGAAATCCTTCAGGGAGGGGGATGACCCAGGACTGTTTCTGCCCCAGTGGCAGGCTTCCTACAGATGGGGACCAGATGCTAGGGGAGTTCCCGCTTACACAGGCGAACAGAGAAGAAAAAGCTCCCTTGCTTTACTGGTATGCAAAAATCTGCCTGTTCCCATATGCTCTGCCCGGTTCATTCTAGAAAGAGGGTGTTGAAGGGGAGAAGGCTCTGGGAGTTCTCCCAATCCTGAGTTTGTACAACACAAAAGAAGGTGAACCCAGCAGCCAGCTCGACTCAGGAAGTTAAGTCTAGAAGGGAACTTACCTCCGAGGCTGGTCTAATCCTCTCGTTTTGTGGATAAAGAAACCGAGTCTTAGAGGGAGGTGCTGTGGGGATTCAAACGGGGCCTTTGGCTCCATCTTAATTGCTCCTGGTGGGTCCCAGACCTTCTAGGGCTGACCCCGCTCTGGCTCTCTGGGGGTTGTCCCCTCAGTGGCATCCAGAGTACCCCTTTCGGACCGCCCTGGGACCTTCTGCCCTGGCTGATGAGACAGGACTCCTGGGTGCTCCCTCTCCTCTCGGGAGCTCTGCAGGGGCCCTTGGCTTTCCCAGGACCATGACAGACAGAGTGGCGAATGTGCAGTCGCTGGATCTGCCCCAGCACCTGGTGAGGAGGTGCCCTGGTCACACTTCCTAATTCCAAGAATAGGGTTGAGATGGGGTGGGGCTTAGGAGGGGCCAGTTCTGTCGGCTGAGGGGGAGCGGGGGATGGGAGACGCCAGGTGGCACCACCGCCGGCTCTGGGGCTCTTGGAGAGTGAAGGGGCTCCCAGGGACCCCCGGAGAGGGCTCCTACAATGTTAGGTTAAGGGTGGGAAGGTGAAAGAGGGAGCAAGAAAGGGAGAGGTATAGGGGCCGTGAAGACTTGATCCCTAGTTAAACAAACACAGCCCTGCCGAGTGATGTCAGCAGCACTGAAAAAAGTCGAGTGCTCTCTGCGGCCATAGGTGTGGATGGAGGAGCCCTGCCTCTCATCAAACAGTGTCAGCCCCTCTCCGCTTCCCATCCCCCACCAGATCAGGGATAAATAGCAGGTGCCATGTGACAATATTGAGGAACAAAAGGGTGCCCCTGCCGCCTCCCCCTCTGTGGAGGGAAGGAGGGGCGGTCCCGATTTGCTGGAGAGACCTGGCTGGGGTGGGGGTGGGGGGGCTGTGGGCTTAAGGGAAGTAGAGGGCCAGAAGGAAAGTGCACGCAGAGGGTAGGAGAGGTGGGCGTGTGGACAATTTCCAAGGCTTGGCAGGGAAATGGGGTCACATGTGG